TCCCCTTATTTTCGCCGCCTATTGCTAATCCCCACAAAATTCCCAATCGGCTCCGGATTCCCCAAAATTAGGGAAATTCCCCACAAATTGGCAACGCTGGAGGTTAGCGTGTTCTTTCTGAATATGCTAAGACTAACGGACTAGTGTCGAAACACAGATAGCTAGATGGACGTATTTCGGCACTTGCGTCGATGCGCTACAGGTACATTTGCCTGCGCGTCGTATGTCTTCTGGCAGTCTTTTAATTTTTCTGTTTGTCTATGGTCTCGATTCTTCTCGAACGAATGAATCATTGCGGTGTCTATGCGATGTTAAGGTCATCCGAGGGCGGGCCATATTGTGAGGTTAGGTCGAGTCCACACCGGCTCGCAACAATATATTCTGGTATTACTTATGTATAACCTAAAGTAAATAAGCAAACGAAGGTAAGTGATGGCAGGTGAAACTTTTAGGAAGATCTGTATGTAAAAAAATTGTAAATTATCGTTTTTAATTTGTTGATAGTATCGACAAAGATGTTAACTTGTCAAAGACACAATACATGATAAACCTAGTACTAAGTGGAAATTTAGACATTAATAACATACCTTTGGAACAAGTGCATATATATAAATACTTAGGGCATGAGATCGGTATTAAAAGGGATAATCAGACCCACGAAATTCTACGAAGAATAGGTTTGTCGTGAATAGGTGGACGGCATTTGGCAAACTAAGGTATATACTGAGATCTGATATTCCCATATGTTTAAGAAGAAAGATCTTTAACCAGTGTGTCTTGCCTGTCCTCGCGTATGGAGCTGAAACGCTTACTTTGACAAAAAAGAACATACATAGAATACAGGTCATGCAACGGAAAATGGAAATAGCCATGTTGGGAGTTACACTCAGAGATAAAATACCCAATCATACAATACGAAATCGAACAGGAGTAAGAGATGCGGTGATATCTGTCTTACATCTTAAATGGAATTGGGTAGGACATGTGGCTAGGATGACAGATGGACGGTGGACAAAGAGACTTGTGGAATGGAGACCGAGACACGAGGCCTATAGAAGCAGAGGACGACCTCCTAGTCGATGGACAGATGACATTAAGAGGGTGTCTGGAAACTGGATTCAAGTGGCACAAAATAGAAGGAAATGGCTAGAGTTAAGGGAGGCTTTTGTTCAGCAGTGCACGGTATAAGCTAAATGATGATGATCGACAAAGATTTATGTATATTTTTTTCACATGGAAATATAAATTGTATAATGCTAATCGAAAAGCACCCAAGCGCCAAACTGTGATTTTGAGATATAGCCTTCTAAAGTATGAGCGAGCTCTATCTCTCTTTGTTGAGCTACCAAGAAAAATGTATCCACAATTTATGACAAAATTAATTTAAGATGAGTACAAGAACAAATTGACAAAACATAGCTTCAAACTTTACACATTTTAATAAACATTTGGCGCATAATTCTTTTTTAAGAAATACCGGAGTACTGTTATTAATTTTAAAAAAGAACCAAGTTCTTGGTTACTTGTAACCAAAAAAAAAATCTACAACATGGTTTACGGTGTTTTCTATTGCAGATTTGTTTCTCTGTTTGTTCTGTAAAATAGAAGTCTCCTTTATCCATTGTTATTGTTTCGAAAATTATATTTTCCCAAGCAGCCAACACAATACTTTTAGATCTTTCACTAATTCCTTTGTTTACCCTTGTTTTAGGCTAATACCTTTCTTGTTTATAATAGTTTTGTAGTTTTAATATGAACAGCACGCGGCTAAGCAAACATTTAAAGAGAATCAACAGAAAACGGGCATACCAGGCCGGTGAAACTCTTACGGGATTTCTTTTGTCGGATAAAATGTTGCATGGCTCTTCGGCTAAATGGCGCCACAGTTTTACTTAAAATTATTTTTATTTATAAATTTAACTAATATTCCAGGAAAATATGAGAAAAGCTTTATTATTAATAGTAGTTATTGCTAATATATTTATTTTAGATTGGTTAAGAAAATTATTATTTTTTATGTTTTGTATATATATAGAAATTTGACATATGTCAAAATAGTCAATAAGTGACACAATAATTATTTAAATTGTTTTTCAATTTTTTCTTTGTTTATAAACTTTATGGTGTTATTTATAATACCTTTGTGTTAGGTGGTTGTCTTTTTCCCTCAAAAGAACCGTTTTACAAAGTTCCCGACTATAAAGCAGACTGATTTGTTTGTAGCGTAGGCTAAAGCCTTCTTTATAAAGCTAGTGGTAATTCAGAATTTATAAATGGAAATCTTCAAAATATTTTCCAAGATGCTAGAATATGTGCAGTACATTTTGAAGCATACGACTTAATAAACATTTGGAAGAAGATAAAAACTTGTATTCCTCATATTAATGCCTGGTAAGTACACAACATTAAAAATATGTATTGCCGTATTGCTGGATTCAGGCTTTAGTAGGTTTGGTACTTTATTCAGAATTCTAAAGTAGCGGATTAAATATTAATATTTTTACCACAGGAAAATAGTCCTATTGCTTAAAAAATGTTGTAGGGCTGGCTGTATCAAATTTAATACCTATGATGATGACACATTAAAGTATGACTTCAACAAAAGCTTACGTATATACGTATTGATATGTACACACATAAATATACTGTATGACAAAAAAACTGCGTCAAGTAGTCTTAGAAATGAACATATCATTCTCCATATAATCTAACATATCAGTGACGGCAGTCTGCGTTTTCAAAAGGTGCTAGTCAATTCTCACTATTCAATGAAGCTTGAATTCTATTATTAATGCTGTTTTTTGATTCATATCATATAGCATTTGACTAAAGGCTATTATTGCAGTAAGTTATAACTAATATATGCTTATGTTTTTACAGTGCCTCTTGAAATTGTTTTTGGACTAGATTACAATGAAGACAGTCGAAAGAATCAGTCGAAACAACCACTCAGTAGTGTTGATTCAAGACCATCCTTAAATTAACCATCTGTATGTAAAACAAAAACAATATCGAACAACACGAACATAGGAAATGAAGTTGTATTTTGTAAATACTTTGTGTTTTATTTAATTCGCATCCCACCTTCGTATATTGAATGTATCAAAACTTATCAATTCAGCATATGCAGATTGTCAATTTGACTTCTGCATATGCTGAATTTTAATTAAATTTGGTTTTTAATGAACATTAATAACGATAACAGAACTAACGATATTAAAAAAAACATTTGTAATACTCAAGTATACAAACAGAAAAGTAAAATTTTATTGTAAAAACTACCCTAATACTTTGTATTGCTGCCCTTGGCTGCTATAACTGCCTGTATATGTCCGTTCATACTGTCATTGAGGCTGCATATATTATATTGCGTTATGTTTTCCCATTCTTCTTTAAGGGCCAAGCAATGTTCGTTTAATGAAGCTAGTACTGCTTCGCGACCTCTAATCCTCCTGCCAAGCATTTGCCAAACGTCGAACATGATGGGCAGTTCATAGTAGCATATAGTTCACAATAATCACCAAAGCCACCTTGTCACATTGAAAAATAACTTCAAAAAGAAGTGATAATTGAAAAAAATGCTAATTGTTGGTGGCAAGTTCATTTCGCTCTTAAAAATTAGCAATAGCTAGGCAACGGCCCAGCTACGTCGAAACACCGGTTCCCATTAGAACACCGAAGTTAAGCGACGTAAGCTGATACTAGCGGATAAACGGGTGACCAGTTCGAAACTCTGTGTCGTGCTGTTGTTCAATAAAGGCAAAAGTGTAAAATCTATTTACACACACTGCTCTTTCACGCCGATTCGAGGCCGGATGAGATCGAATATCTCGTGAGTAAGAGTCGATTTAGACACTTGCCAAGTCGGTAGGCCATTGACCATGATATGGCCGAGGACCGCGGTTCGGATTCCGCGTAAACAAAGTAGGCCCCGTCCAGATTAGCCCTGGCAGCAAAAAGGAGACGTTAACTGAAATCTTTACTTTACTTTTTTTAAAATTAACCAAGGCATGTATTGACATATGATCCAAAAAACAAAATACTCAGGAGACATGGTTATCACCGTAAAATTATATATACTAAAGTTTATAAAAAACTAAGTTTTACGAATTAAAGTTGATATTATACAGTTTGATAAAAAAATCATGAAAAAAAGACTAAAAATAACAAAAATATAACACTTTTTGACCAAAAATTTCTCCTTTGCGTCTTTTTTTGCAGCTTAGTAAGCGTTTTTCTAAAAAGTGGGATATGAATTTATTACTAGTCCTGCTATCAAGTTTAAATTAATTAAACAATTCCAGATTCTAACACGTCATTTTAAAATTAGACTAGAAACATAGTTTTTGTTATCAATCATAGAGGTACTCCGTTTTCACAAAAAGTTGGGTGTGACTTTTTTTATTCGGTACACCCTGTATAGCTGAGCTATCAAGTTAAAATATGTATAAAATTCCAAAACGGGGTCGTCATATCAAAATCACTCTAGAAACATAGTTTTATATCAATCGTAGATGTGCTTCAAATTTTTCGCGTTTTTTGGTATCTGGGGACCACTGTGCGGCGTGGATAACCCTGTAGACTACTGTAGAGAGTGACAAGACATACTTACATATTTTGTCAATTCCATCGGCGCAGTAATTGCCTTCATTACCCCTTCTCTACCTATATGCGTCCTTTACAGACATATTGCCAGAATTAACACGCTTTACCAATAAATGGAATTTTAAGATAAAGCAACATTGTATTTTTTTATATTTATTAAAATGCTTCTCTTTAAGCGTTTTTTTGAATTGGTACTTGTAATATACTTTGTAACAAATTTATAAGCATGAATATAAAGGTTTCTTATTCAATTATTACATTACATAGTAACTCTTATTTGCATACCGCATATCAACAATCTAATGATACAATATTATCTAGATTTTAAAACTTATATATTCATGTGAATATAAACAGTTTGTTTCATATTTAAATATTATTATAGTGTTCTTTATAAGAATTTTAGTGTCAGTAGTAGTAAAAATAATTCAATTTCCATTTTATTTTTCATATCCTAACTTAATTGAAAAGCTCTAAATTCTAAATATAAAAACGTCCAACAAGAATCCTCAAAAAAATGGATTTGATACTAATTGCCTTAGTGATTGTAGTACTTCTAGTATTAGTACTCCCCCCTTTGTTCAAAATTTACAGGAAAAACAAATTTGTTCATCAATGCATTGATATCTTGCCAGGTGATAAATGGTACCCTCTAGTAGGTACTACTTACAGTATTTTAAGAGCTCCAGCTGAAGGTAGGCAGATTTTTATTATTAATAAACAAAATTGTTATATCTCAAGATGGAAGACAAAACTCTGATTGTATTAAATATAAAAAATACGATGCAGGTGTAAATGTAACAAAATCTGTACTATCAGAGTCGATCCACGACGTCGGCAGTCTTCTGTCTCTGTCTCACTCATCGTACGGTAGCGACCCGACGTAAGTCGGAGTTGTATCGTATTAAGGCGGGGCTTAGGCAAAATCTCCGGTCGCCTTTGCATGAAGTCGTGGAGGCTCGGTAGGCTTAAAAGTTAAGGGGATATTCCGGATATTTCATAATAAGGAGATATATCACATTTCGTTAAGGGGATATTTCATATGATTCATTATACGTAGCATTTAAAACTTTTATATGAAAATTCAAAAAACGTTTAAAGCAAATTGGAAACATTTTTCGGGCTTGTCCGAGATTATTAAAAATGATATAACCGGTTGTATTTCAGAACACGCCAGAGAAATAAAATAATCTGAAATAAAAAAGCGCGTTATTTTATTCGGTGCAAGAAGACGATACAACAGATATATTACCGAAAAGTCTCTGTGCTATTTCAATTCGATATGTTAATAAAAGCGGCTAAGTCAAATACCTTTGCGAATTGTATTTTATGAAATATTAGATAACATTGTTATACATTTAGAAATAAGGTTTGCAGATAGGTACTAGTATGTCTCAATTATTTTTATTTATCTCTTGCGGATCCGAAATTTAAAAGATCCTATAAAAAATTTCCAACGCATTTAACATCTGATTTAACAAACTTGTTATATTGATACATTTCCAACGCATTTAATAGTGATTTAACTTTTTTTAACCAGTTAAATCACTTTAACTGGTTTTGTTTGTTACTACACCATTTACAAGTACGTTTGAAATGCATTAAAATGTATAAAAAAATAAACGTTTATCGCCTCTTGCCTTACTTTCAATCTAAAAAGATCTTTTCACAGCTCTTCAACAATCTGATGATTTTACTGATATAATAATAAATAACTTTTCTTTATTAAGAGACCGACTCATCAATTTAATATATAAAACATAATTATTCTTTCTCTCAATACTACCAATTGTTAAATTTGCGTAAATAAATAAAAATAAAATAAAATTCTATGATGTAATCCATAGTGACTCCATAGTAATAGATAAAAAAATAATAGATAAAATAGATTAATAAAAATTATACTTATACATTATGTCATTACGTTGAATGCTGTTATTTTTACTTTAGCTTTGTCCTTAATATTTATGAGCTATGTTTTTAACCCAGAGATAACATATATTTACAAACTGGGCTAGAATTAAAATTTGATATAAACGTATAATTATGTGACAAAAATTAGCTAGATGAAATCAAAGCTCAAAATACTTCCTTTCCTGTTCACTGCATAAAATGATTCTCTTTTCAAAATATCTTTACATTTTAAAAAGGTACTCCGAAAAGCAACAACTACAATAATTTCTCTCATGTTGTCGACAATAGTTGGTCAAGTTTTGTAAACACTGTCTTTAACATATCCCCATAAAAAAACTCAGACTAGACCAAACCAGGAGCATTTAAGTATTCTATCTGTGATCCTATTAATTACGGAATGCACACTGCATTTACCAACTAATAGAATCATATCAATTGTCTCTGATGTAGGATAAGTTTTCATTTTCCGCAAATTTCTGAGATTATTTTTTGTTTTTACTGACACAAAACGATAACTAGTTAAAGTTGGACTAATTAGACAGCTCTATGTTGAAGTAACGGCAGACATATCACAACCACCTAGATTTTATCAAATAATAAAGATCTACTGGCACTAAATCTTAAAAATCAAAATATCTAGGAAAATCTTTGTTTGGTAGGTAGGCAACCTTAATAGTAATTTAAGGAGACATGAATTCCTTATTGAATATCGAAATAATATACTGGGTGTTCCATGTAAAAGAAATGAGTAACTTACTTTTAAAGATGGCCAATGTTCAATGTTAATTGTCACCCTGTATAACTTTTTGGGCCAAGTTTTAATTTGATTTAATATAGAGTAGTTATTTTGCTACATATTACACTATACCGGATAACTTCCAATTTAGGTAGCTTTTTTCAAATTTAAAAATTGTTCTTTATTTTCAGAAAATCTTAAATATTTCAAAAAACTTACATTTTAGTCATATACTTCTCCAATAAAACTCACCTTTATTTTTCTCCTAGAATCCAAAAATCAATGGGTGTTCCATTACAAAAAACACAACTTTGATAATATGTAACTTTTATAGGGGACACCCTGTAGAATTCTCTATATTTTAAAAAACGCTTTCAATTAACATACGTATGCTCCCAAAATTTCATTTCGTGAAATTTGGGGAGCATATTTTATGCACGGATTTTCATTCTCTGAGATAACCTACATAATATGCTCACAAAATTTAATTTCAATACCAAATACCAAATACCAACTGTCGCCCTCTTTGCAGTCTCCGCGTCGTCTGAGAGGAGCCACCCTGTATTTTCGAAAATATAAAAACTAGAAAATAAATTGATCCAAAAATGTATCACTTTACAAAAAATGTGAAAACGGAAATATATTATTGTTGATACAAATTACCATAAATAAAGACTTTTTATGCTTTCTTTAGATAGGTGGGAAGTTACAAGCAAAAGACATAAAATTTTTGGACCAATTTTCAGATCCTGGTATGGTTCCATACCCACTGTTCATATATTTAAACCAAATCATATCGAGGTATATTTTAAAACTATAAAAAAAACAACCAACAAATAATAAACCTATTTTATTTCAGAAAATTTTGAAAAGTCATATTAACATTAAAAAAGGCAGAATTTACCACGTACTTAAACCTTGGCTTGGACAAGGGCTTCTATCAGCAACTGGTAAGACTTAACGAGAGAATTAAGTATATTTTTCTCAATGTGCCAGCAAAGATTATTTAACTTTTTTTGGTTTAAATAGGTGCTTATTGGAGGAGGCATAGAAAAATTATAAGACCAGCATTTTATGGCGCTATTCTGGATAGATATATGGATGTTTTTAATGAATGTGCTCAAAATTTTGTTGGTATTTTAGAACAACATGTAGAAGAAGAATATACAGATATTTTTTCGTATATAAATCAAATTGGTTTAGATGTTATTGCTGGTATATCATAAAGTAGTTTTTTTGTAATATAATAATTCATTTTTTCGAATTCAGAAACAGCAATGGGTGTAAAAATCGATTTTCTCAAGAATCCTAGATCTGAATATCCTGAGGCTATAGAAAAGTATGTTTTGTATACAGAGTGGTTCGAATTGTATTCCAATTGTTCGAATTGTAATATAAGTAAACTTCGGCAGCATATTCTGCAGATAAAAATATGTAAAAAAGTTTGTATACATGTATGTCCTAAAATACTTAGTTTCGGAGATACAGGGTGTAGAAGTTTCATTTTTATTGCGATTTTTTCGAAATAATTTCTGAAGTAATGTTAATATTTGGATGAAAATTGGTGTCTGAGAGTTTTTTGACATGAGAAATTTGATTTTGATGTCAATATGATTCCTACTTGTAGAGGGCGCCACTTTTTTATTAGTTTGAAGACTAATAACTTTTCGTCCGTACCTGTATAACATTACTGAGTAAAAAAATATACATTTAAAACGTCTTTTACGTAAAAAAGATCTCTTGGTAAAAATTGCTACGAGTAATGGTTCTCGAGATATTCAGAATCGAAGTTATCAATAACTGTCGTCATTGACATAATTTATTAAACATGTTGACTAAATAGTTATTAGACTGATCTAATAAATTGAATTGTTTTTGTGTCATAAGTTCAACAGAAACTGTTTTATTCTCATTTCTTCGCAGAAAAAATTATGATTAATTTAAAAAAATTAAAATTTCCCAAATTTATTATTTCAGTCAAATTATCTACTCAATGTGTTTATTTTTTGTCAATAATGATATGTGTTGACTATTTCCATTCTAAATATCCTCCATTTCGCAACGCTTGCGCGTAGCGATTTTTACCAAGAGACATTTTTTACGTGAAAAGTCACGAAAATTTATATTTTTCTATAAGTACGGACGAAAAGTTATTACTCTTCAAAACAGTTAAAAAACGTGTAGGTGGCGCACCCTACAAATAGGAGTCATATTAATATTAAATTCAAATTTCTTGTGTCAAAACACTCCCAGGCACCAATTTTCATCCAAATATTGACCTTACTTCAGAAATTATTTGAAAAAAATCGAAATAAAATTGAAACTTCTACACCCTGTATTTCCGAAACTAAGCATTTTAGGACATGCATTTTATACGAACTTTTTTACTTATTTTTATCTGCAGAATTTGTTGTCGAAGTTTCCGGAATACAGTTCAGACCACCCTGTATAAGTTGGAGGCAGATACCGAATTCGGCCAATGTCCGAAATAATTAGACATATCGCGATTATAATTAATTATACTGTGATTATACCTACCTATATCCACAAAGTTACGCGGAAGAGTTTTGATTGCATTGGTTTCAACTTCTATGCGAAGGGTGTTAATCTTTTGTTGTTATATTATACCAAAATAAGATTAACCCCCTCCGCAAAGAAGTTATATAAAGACTATTTATAACCACGAAGTTGCACGCAACTGGCAAGTTTAGTATGGACAAATCGCCATATATCTAATTATTTCGGACATAGGCCGAATTCGGCATCTGCCTCCATCATATACACTCAGATGCAAAAAAACGCAACGGAAAAATCTTTCGTGTGTGTTAAATTTTTTTTATTTTTAGCTCTTTTTCCTTAATTTTTTTAGCAAACTGTCTATAAATATATCAATTTTAATTCGTAAACTCTTAGGTTATTATACCCTTTAGTATTTGATTAAGGTTATAATAAGGGTTAATACAGGGTTAATCGAAGAGTTCTTTTTTACGCTATCTTTAAAACACTCTGGTGCAATAATTTCGTTAGCAAATTTTCATAAAACTTTTCGGTCAGAACTATGTCTCCAGGATATTTTGTTTTTTAACCTTGGTTGATTTTTAAGAGCAAAATGAACTTACCACAAACATTATGCAATTTTTTCAATTATCGTTACTTTTTGATGTTATTCTTTATAACGACGAGGTAGCTTTAATGACTACTGTTGTGTACGATTGAATATGGTTCTTAGTGTCGAGGATTGTGCAAAAGGCATTGATCTTGTTAAAGATTGCCTAAATTATGAATATTCGATTGGTTCTTGAAGAAGAATAGGAAAACATAACACAATATACACAAGACCAAAATTATTGCATATATCGTTTAAAAATATACGGAAAGGAATTTAAAGAATCTTTTTTAGCCGACCATACCAATAGGTATGGTAGGCTAGTAGGATCGGCAAAAAAAAAGTTTTTTTAATTTCACTCAAAATGAGTTATTTGGGTCATAAATGACCTAAATACAAAATATTTGCCGACCATACCAATAGGTATGGTAGGCTATTAGGATCGGCAAAAAAAAATGTTTTTTTTTAATTTCACTCAAAATGAGTTATTTGGGTCATAAATGACCTAAATACAAAATATTTTCGTGGTGTCTGTCTGTCTGTCTGCCGGTCTGTCCGTCTGTCTGTCCGTCTGTAACACGATAACTCAAAAACCGCTGAACCGATTTTAACCAAATTTGGCACAAAAATACTGTGGCAACCGAGAATCTGGCTATTAGTTTTTGGTGGTGGTGGGGGGTTGGTAAGGGGGTATAGGAGGGGGTTATAAATTTAAAAAAATCGTAACTCCAAAATTACAGTAGCTCGCGAAACGCGGTTTTCAAATTAAGATTAGGAATAATATTTGCAACAAAATTTGTAATAACATCAAAATCAGTCAAAGTCGCAGTTTTCGAGATATTAACATATTTTAGTATGGGCGGCTATACGTGCCTCCCGGCGCCAATTTTTATACATAGCTTTGATAATAATCTAACATGTAATAAACATTTTTTTGTTAAAATAGATATGGTAAACAATGTTTATCGTTTATCGTTTAGACCCAATATTATTACAAATTCTTGCACATTTCGATTTGTGGTCTCTTGGGTTTCAGAAGAAATTTGACCATTGTTTTGGCCTTAAAATGCCTAGAAACATTATTTCACAGTTTAATAGAGTCAGAATATTAACACTGTCTCAACAGGGCTACCGGCAAGTTGCAATAGCTGAAATTGTAGGAGTTAACCAAAACGATGTTTCGCGAATATTAAAAAAAATCAGGGAGACAAACGAGGTTACAGACCGGCCTGGAAGAGGTAGAAAGAGAGTTACTACTGATGTGCAAGACCGTGAAATATCCCTAATTGCACGACGCAATCCCCTGCTTTCTAGTACTGCTATTAAAAATGAGTTAGCTCGCCTTGAAGGAGTAAATGTTTCAAGAAAGACCTTAGCAAGAAGACTCCATGACAGAGGATTACATCTAAGGGGGCCTTTACGTATTCCCAAGCTTAATTTACAGCACAAAATTACGCGACTACAATGGGCTGAGGAGATGAGAGCAAATGGACCTAATAGGAATTTCGTCATGTTTAGTGATGAAACAAAAATAGGCCTAGTGTCAGACTCGCGACGAACTTTGGTCTGGAGAGCAACTGGAAGACGACCACGCTTGAGTGCAGCACAACCCCGTGTCCCGTTTCAAGGGGGAAGCATTATGGTATGGGCAGTTAAAATGCACGGAGCTCAAACTCCTCTTGTTTTTATTGATGGCACAATGACAGGTGGCTCATATCTTAGAGACGTTTTAGAGCCTATTTATTATGCGTCCATTTCGAGGGGCAGTAGGGGATGAATTTGTTTACATGGACGATAATGGTCCTCCCCATCGCACTTTAGCGGTTCGTGAATTTTGTGAGAAAGAGGGTATAAGAAAACTGTAGTGGCCACCGATGTCACAGCGATGTCAGAATGTGATCGAGCATGCTTGGGATACGCTAAAGTATCTCGCTGTTCCTCGCCGCTTCACTATGTTTCAGCACCTCGAAGCTTGCTCGACGCGGTATCGCGCTGCTTGCTCGCCGCTATCCTCGGCGCTCTACTTTCTTAGGATAGTCGTGTAGTAAGCCAATATCTCCAAAAATATAAAAAGAATCATATTAGGTCCAAAATAAAATAAAAATACCGTTATATGCAATAATTTTGGCCATGTGTGTACTTGCAGCGTCATTGGCAGTATGAACCGACGGCGACGTCTACAGAGTACAGACAGTTACAGCAACAGGAGGAGGCAATACAAAATATTAGAGTATTTTTACAAGTTCCCTTGGTTTAACACCTAAACCAAACCAAAACAAACAAACAAGAAACTTCACACTTTGTTATTACAGTTTGTTATTACACTTAGTTATTACATTATTTTTTTTTAATTAATCTTAGTTCTGTGAATATTACTAATATTTATTAAAACCAAGCTTGTATCGTTACTTTTTAACGTTTTTATAAATTTTAATATAGAGTGCAGTGTCGATATGACATTACGACAATAGTCACCAAAGCTACCTCGTGGTATTAAAAATTAATAATGATAGTTGAAAAAATTGCAAATTATTAGTGGCTTTTCGCTCTCAGGGCCGTTCCTGGCGAGCGTGCAGTGCGTGCACGCACGTAGCCGCAACATTTTGGGGGCGCAAAATCGAAGTGTCAATCAGTACTTTGTAACAAAAAACCGATACGCTTTCTTGTTAATAAACAAATACTTAAACATACATCAGAATAATTGGATTATAGGATAAAGGATATAGGATGAAGATTATATAATATAAAGATTATTGGATAAAGTTTGCTTAGCGTCTTTTTTGCGTTGGCCGCACCGAATAAACAAGTCTATGGCAATCTGTCGGCAACACATTGATCTCATCTATTTATTTTTCATTTTATGGAAAGCACTGTTCATTAAATTGTTGTATCCTATGTTATACATAGACATATACCGCCATTACTCGCTGACGAGTATTTGACTCGCATCAGAAGATGGTCACGCAAGGCGTTTTATTCATGAGCTTTTGTTAGATCCTATGTTATAGGGCTTGTTTCTCTCTACAATTTCCTATCTCACAATATACCGTTTGTGTCGGGGAAGGGATCATAGTTTCATAGTTGTCGATTTTCGACAGAAATCAGTACATGCATATTATTTCGTATATTTTTCATTTTATTGATTTTATGGAAAGCACTGTTCATTAAAATATTGTATCCTATGTTATAGGGCTTGTTTCTCTCTACAATTTACTGGCTCACAATGTACCGTTTGTGTCCGGCAAGGGTTCATAGTTTCATAGTTGTCGATTTTCGAAAGAAATCAGTACATGTATATTACAGTTGAGGGTTGGAACCTTTGGTGTTGTAACGTTTTTAGTTCGTTACATGTTTTTTTTTATATATAATATATGATGTCTGGCCTATCATCACCGGATTCCCTCTCGTTCAGGCCGGATAGATTATTTGACGCGTAATTTTTACGTTCCCTGGTCGCCAACCCTGTGATCGTTCGACACAACCCTGTTACTATTCTGTGAAGGTCTCTTCTGTCAACTCTCCGTGCTTAACCTCACTTTGTTTTGACGCTCTGTTTTATCCCAGCTTTTAGAAATGGTGATTATTTAAATCTTGCTGTATAATCTGAATCAGCTGCTATTTCAAAGCAACAGGTAAAGATGAGATATTATCCTTTTAGATTCGATATTATTATTGAATATTTTTAGGGTAGAGTTACGGATGTCCCAACTTGTATTTGTGTTTTGCTGGCACGTTGGCGTCCCTTTTCTTTTGTCCTCCAGACTGTCACATGGAAGAAAGGACATGTTGTTTATTATTTATTGAGCCCTCGGAAGTATTTCGAGGTAGGTTTATTTTGTTTACTAGACCTTGTTTGGTTTTGAACAAGAGTTTCATATTTTTAGGGTCCAAGGTACGGACTATTTCCAAGGTAACGGACTGTGTCCAAGGTACGGACTGTGTCCAAGGTACGGGTAGTGTCTTATATACGGATGTCCTGTGGACGAGTGTCCCCAGTAAGAATGATTTTTTCTTACATATAAGTGCCACAGCATGGGTGTAGTTTGAGTCCCATGCTGCTTCGTTCCCAGCGGTAAGCTAGTTAGTTACGGCTGTACCAATTTATGGTGTCTCATTCTGGCCCCTTTGGTTGTGTTGGATGGCTGAGTACAGAGAAATGCGAGACCACCTCACGATGTTACTGCTTTAAGCAGGATTGCATAAAGAACAGCTAAGTGTAGATTTAAGTTATAGTTTTGCATTTAACATTTAAAACATTTACAGTCTTAAACAATAATGTACATCTTAAATAATATCGTATAGACTATGTTGAGTGGTTAGATTGTTAAGAACATTCATGTCGATTTAGTAGTTAAAATATAATTTAGATCTTAGGTTTCATTGCATTATGTCTTGTAATAGTATTTCTTTTTTATAGATATTATTATTGCACTCTAACATCATATAAAATATATCAAATTAATTAAAGTAATGCTACATTTCATACATTCTCTTAAACTTTACATTTCTTGTATTTTATCATAGTCGTTTTCATAGATATTTAGTACAACTCTTACCACCACTTTCTGTGACATATAACCACTACATATTCACTAGAACTCTACAATGTCATGTATCAGCAACGAACATCATGAATGAATATAGTCATTAGTTTTAAGTAATATACAACTGTGTTTTCTTTCTCTGTACATGCCTGGCGCCCAATATCTATTTTTTTGTTTATTGTTATTAATTAGTTTTCTTTCCAGTGAAATACCTTATCCACGACTGCTCTCCGATGAAAAGCTGCCGTTCGCAGTGGTGGTTGTTTAAAAAACGCTACACTTAATTTGGCGCCCAACGTGGGGCGCCAAATTATGTGTAGCGTTTTTTAAACAACTACGACTGCTCTCCGATGAAAAGCTGCCGTTCGCAGTGGTAGTTGTTTAAAAAACGCTACAGTGTTACACAGCAAAATAAAAACACTAAATCACCACAATACACCAAAACACTTTTAGTACACCAGTTTAAAAGTAAAAGTGTTTTGGTGCATTGTGGTGATTTAGTGTTTTTATTTTGACATGTATATTATTTCCGATTTTTAGTTTATTGTTTTTATGTATTTCATATAAAATAAGTGAGTTTTTTTCTTTAGGGTACTATTTTTGTTACTAAATATTTTTGTGTTTTTGTTTGTTTTCTGTATTTAATAAATGTTTTTATACTTTAATTAGAATAATTTTTTTACATTTCCAATTACATATTGCTCGTTTGTCGCACAATATAAATTCTTTAAATTTTTGAGATTAAGATTAAAATATATAATTGATTTAAATATAAAAAGGGCGCACCAAAGAATGCTGCACGTAGGCGCCAGATACCCCAGAAACGGGCCTGTTCGCTGTTATATAAATTAATCCAGGCATGTGTTGACATGAATCAAAAAACAAAATGCTCAAGAGACATGGTTCTGATCGAAAAATAATGTTTTAGAAAAAGTTACTTACGAAATTATTGCACAGGGTGTTTTAAAGTTAAAGTAAAATACAACCATTCAATTCACCCTGTCTAATCAGCCAAATACTAAAGTTTATAAAAAAAACTGAGTATATTAATTAAAGTTGATAGATTTATATACAGTTATTGCTAAACAATTCATGAAAATATGGCTGAAAATAAAAAAATATAAAACTTTTAAAACTTGACGAAAAAAAGTTCCGTTGCATTTTTTTTCTTCTGAGTATATAAAAATACTGATTTCTATAGTAAATTTTCTATAAATGTCTCTAGTTATATCATCTTAGCTGTAAAACGGGCCTTTAATCCAATTGGACATATCGATTTCTTATTTGGATTGACCAATGATGCCAAAAGTATGAAAGAAAGTTTAGATATTATCAATAAATTCAACAAAAAGGTATGCACGTTCCTTACTACATAAATCAAGAAAATTTTAGAAATTATGGTTTCAGATAATTGCTGAAAGAAAGGTTCTATACCAACAAAACAAGTGTAATAATGAATCGAATTTGAAAAACCGTAACAAAAATTTGGCTTTTTTGGATTTGCTGCTCTCCTACCAAGAAACTGACAATTTCACAGATGAGGAAATTGAAGAAGAAGTTAATACTTTTATGTTTGGTGTAAGCACGATGTTTTTGTTTATAATTAACTTTTTTGTTTTTTGTGTATAATTATCTATTCTGTTTATAATTATTATAAGCTTTTTAATCTTCTTTTTTTGTTACTAGGGGCAAGATACTACCTCCCTTACTATAACATACACTTTACTAGCCATAGGAAATCATCCTAATGTACAGGTACATTTTTTTTAGTTACCGGATAAATAAAAAATAATTCAAAACTACATCAAAATTTAAAAAATAGGGAAAAATTAATACAGATTTTGTAGAAACGTCTCCAAGAAGAAATTGACAGCATTTACCAAGGCGATGAAAGACCAATAACATCAGAAGATTTGAGTAAAATGGTATATATGGATAGGGTAATCAAGGAAACTCTTAGAGTATACTATTTTGTTCCTTTCATGTCAAGAACGCTTGTTGAAGATATCGAAATAGGTACTTTCTTGATTGATATACAGCGCGTTTCAAAAAACATGTGCCATCTCTCGTGGAGAGATTCTTCACCTAAAAATAGGATTTATTTTTCATATCAACATAGGTCCAATTCTGTTTTCTTTCGTAGTTACAGGGTGTTAAAGTCTTTTTAAAATTTTTTCGATTTATTTTAATTTTCTTCCAAGCACTTTTAGCGTTTCGAATGAAATTTTGAGGGTAAAAGTTACTACAATTGCGACAGATTTTAAAGCTAATAAAGTGTAAAAAAAAGCATGTACGCCACTGACTTTTTTTTCTTTTGTTGGCGAAATAGTGTAAGCAGTTGAATGGCCATTAAAAGTTGTCTCTTGATATTTTGTCGATTTCATCGAATAAAAACGGCGTCACCGATGGCTATGAAGTGACAACCGATGACATTTTTCATATAGATTTACATATAAAATGACAGCGATCTTCATTTCATAGCCATCGCTGAAGCCGTTTTTATTCGATTATACGGTATTAACAAGCGATTTTCGGCAATTCGTCGCCAAATTGTGTAAAATTAGGGGTGAAAGTTTGAATAATCTATGATTTTCGAATTACTACTATTTTACTATTTATTGTATGAAAGTTACTACTGATCTAGAAGTATGAAATTTTGTAAAAATATTTTTTAAATGGCGTAATTGGGCAGTATAAGAAGCAATTTTTGGAAATTCATACCCTCGGATGTGATATTGGGGTGAAATTTTGTATTAGCTTTCTTATATCTTGCCTAGAACTATAAAATTTGGCACAAAATTACGTAATTGAACAAAATGACGTAGTTGAACACTGCGATAAAAGAATTAAGGTACATTTGGTAGGTAATGTGTCGTAAGTTGGAAAAAATTTTGTAGGAAACTTTGTTACAACTCGCTCAATGTTAAATACATTAAAATCTACCTGAATACCGCTACAGACAGCATGCTATCATTTTGGTAGGATTAAGAGGTGGTAAGCGGGAGCGATAGTCAAAAGTGAGTGATAGATATGTACCACCCTGTACAATTCGACGCTTTTAAATGGAAACACCCTTTTCTATAAGAGATAGGTGAAAACTAATATCGGTGTCTGGAACTCATTTTCATGAAAAACATGATGGTGAAAACCGCACATCAAAAGCTGTTACCGTTTCGGAGTTACGGGGTGTTTTTCAAAAATGTGCATTTTTAACAAATCGCTGTAACTTTTTTGCTATGGAAAGTTTTGTATTTCTATGAAAACATTTCCAAAGCACCTTTTTACGTAGAATTTAATGGTTTAAGTATATTTTTTTTTAAATTAATAATTTAAGAGTTATCAACAGAAAAATTGATTTTTTATTTGGGACAACCTCTATATTTTTAATTAACTAAAAAGAATTTAAAATTACCTTTCCAAAAATATAGCACACTTGATATTTTGTTATAATCCCCTTCGAAATACAGAATTTTTAAAAGTTCGCCACTTTTAACTAGTAGGCTTTGGACCCCTTATTGATGATATGCCCTTAATGGAACTCGAAAACATATTTTTCCAGCAAGACGACGCACCGTCTCTGAACGCTGAAGTTATCAGCAAATTTTTGCATCCACTTGCAACAATAATTGAATAGCTAACCAACACTCCAGCCGTTGGCCGTCGAGGCCACCTGACTTAGTGCCCATGGATCTAATCCTATGGATATATTTGCGGAAAAATAAAGGTTCCGTATAGAGGTGTGTAGTTCGTGAACGAACTAGTTCCAATGAACTATTGCGACCCCGGAATGAAAGGAACTAGTTCCTGGTTTCTCAAAGAACTAGTTCCTCGGGACCTATTCCGGGATCGAGACTGTGACCGATATTGAATAATATGCGACGGCGACGGATCGGCTAGCGCGCGTATCCCGATGGTAGGCAGGAGTGGGGCGTGCCAGCCGTACGTTATCAGATCCGGACCTAGAGGAACTAAACTAAATAAAAGACTAGTTTACGTACGAACGGATCGGGCCAGCGCGATCGGAGTGGTGCTAGGCAGGAGTGGGGAATGCCAGCCGTATGCCGTATGTTATCGGATCCGGATCTAAAGGAACTAGAGGAACTAAATAAAAGACTAGTTTACGTATGGATCAGCCATCGTGATTGATGCTAGGTAGGCGTGGGGAGTGCCAGCCGTATGTTATCGGATCCGGATATAGAGGAACTATTAAAAGACTAGTTCACGGGAATCTATTCAGTCGGCAGATCCGAGATATAATACAAGGCGACGACGATGGATTCGGCCTTGTCTATTGCCACAGCCGGCGCGGCGTAATTACCACAGAAAATTGTCGTGGATACTGTTTTTAATTTTGAATTAGTTTTTTAAATATTTTATGGGAATGTTTCACTTTAGGTCTCTAAAATTAAGAAATATCTTATAAAACGAAGTAGATATTCTGAATTTTTAGACAAAAACAAAAAGCTTGAAGTGAGGAAACATGCAATTTTTTGAAAAAATTTTGTAATATTTGCTCCAATTGATTTGTGATATAGTTTTTTAAATTCTGATTTGTTTTTTTTTATTTTTTTATCTGCAATAAAACTTAGCTATATCTTTTTAACATACACAATTACCCGTCTCGTTATATTATCTCCGTATATTATAAAAATTATACAGATCATACTGTGAATAGTTCTGACTGACAACGAAACGCATTAGTAAGCAAGGGGGATGTCAATGTTAGTCGGGAACTATTGTGAACTAAAGACCTAGTTTAAGGAACTATTCCTTTGGAGGAACTAGAACTAAGGAACTACAATTCCCACCTCTAGTTCCGTCTAATCTAGACAAGAATTAGAAATACTTAGCAGTTATGAGAGGGTATCTTTCACCCCACTGAGTTAATTGAATTCCGCGAGAAATGTTCAAAAACTTTGTGTTTCTGATTCAGTTTGGGATGACTCTTATTCAGTTTCAATTTTAAAAATGTGTTAATAAACGGTTTTACGATTTTTATGTATCTATTTTTTTTATGATTATATCGTTATTTTTATTATACCACTACACCAATATATTCAGAATCGAATATCGATATTTAATAAGATCGATCTTTTGTTACCGATTTTTTTCTGGATCGATCTTGTTATGTCCGATCTTGAATCGATTCAAAATATCGATTTTTTTTATTTTTGGGACATCCCTACCGTAAACGCGAATGAAATCGAGAGCCAAAGATTGTTATTAATATTATCATACATAGGTAGTTGGGAAATTGAAGGTCAGCACCCCCCCCCCCCCCCAATACAAGTGCCCTCGCTACGCCTCTGAGTAACATGAGTAAGAATAACATAACGTTGCAGTCAGCAGGATCACTGACCGTTATCATGTGTAAACTGATAACGTTTTACACTTGATAACGGTCAGTGATCCTTTTGACTGAAACGTTATGTTAATCAAAATAAGTAAAGACAATAACAGTAAGAATTAGAGGTGAGCAACAAATCGGAAACTGCGATTCAATCGCAGCGATTTTAAAATCGCAATTGCAATGCGTGCGATTTGCGATTGGCTTTCATAGGAAACTGCGACTGCGATTTCTATTTGCGAGTTTCAATTTAGGCAACCAATTACTATAGTTGCGATTTTGATGCGATTGTGATTTTATAAACTAGGACCATGATAACATTCTATCTTAGAGTTTGAATTTTTAGGAGTTGCGATTTCCAATTTTGTTGCGAATGTAATTTTGTGGTCCATTGAAGCATTTTATACTCAACTGCGATTGATTTTTTTCTCTGATTTTGTTTATTTATAGAGAAGAAATTATTTTCTAGGGTCAAGATCATAATCTACCGGGTATTTCTTAAGAGTGGTTCGCTCCTGTAACTTTTTTATTTTTTCTGATAAAAAAAAACGAGATTTGGTATGTTAGCATATGACATAAATTAGGATTGATTGACGTATTCAATTAATTTCGATCACTCCCTGTTTCACCTAAAATGACTACAACTTTTGATTTTTAAATGGCACCCTCGGTATTTTTTTACTTTATTCGATAGAAAATAACACTCTCAATAGAATGGCATATTATATGTCAACTTTTGACATTATCGCTTTAAAAAAATCGTATTTTAAATTTCAATTTAGAGTGCCTTAGTTGTGTCAGTAACACTAATTTTCAATCAAGGAGCCTTGGAAAAATAGATTTGATCGTCTATTGTTTTTCGTGTGCTGTCCTGGCCGATTAAAAGATGCCCAAATCGTATTTTTAATCATATCTCAAAAATGTTTGCAAATGGAACGAGGGTGGCTAATTAGCATATTTCGAAAAAACATTTTTTAGGAATAATTTGGTACGATTTCTAGTCCAATTGTTATGAACCGCATGTTTTTCCACAATTTCCAGTTAAACTACATACAAAAATGTTAAAACTTGATATATGATATGTCAGTCTATTCCAAGTGTCATTTTCTATCGAATAAAGTAATAAAAATACCGAGGGTGTTATTAAAAAATCAAAAGTTGTAGTTATTTACGGTGAAACAGGATTGAATACAAATCAATTGAATACGTTCATCAATCCTGATTTATGTCATATACTAACATATCTACTAAATCTCGTTTATTTATCTGAAAAAAAAGAAATAAAAAAGTTATAGCGGTGAGCCATCTTAAAAAAGTAGATAACTGAGAACCGTAGAAAGACTAGGTATGTGTAGTTGTAGTTGTTGTTGCAGATATTGTGTTGCAGATATTAAAAAAAATTAAAAAACTAAAGAACTGATTTAAACATTGTGCAACGGCCTAGCTACGTTAAAACACCGGTTCCCATTAGTACACCGAAGTTAAGCGACGTAAGGCGATACTGGTGGATGGACGGGTGACCGGTTCGAAACTCTGTGTGTATCGTGCTGTTGTTCAAGGGAAAAGTGTAAAATCTATTGATACACACTGCTCATTCACGCCGGTTCGAGGCCGGATGAGATCGGATATCTCGTGAGTAAGAGTTGATTTAGACACTTCCTAAGTTGGTAGGCCATTGACCATGATATGGCCGAGGACCGCGGTTCGGATTCCGCGTAAACAAATTAGGCCCCGTCCAGATTAGCCCTGGCAGCAAAAAAGAGACGTTAACCGAAATCTTTACTTTACTTTGATTTAAACATTAACTTTTTTAACTGTTAAGCTATACAAAATACACAGACGATTATATACCCAGTACAATATTTAAATATTAAAATCGCAATCGCAGGTTACAGTCGCAGCGATTTTAAAATAGGAATCACAGTTACAATTGCGATTGGAGAATCGCAGTTTTGCTCATCTCTAGTAAGAATAGCTAAGCTAAGCTCTTCACAATTATACTTACCACATTTACATTATTTTTAATGTTATGGTTTTCTTTGAAATAAAGACGTTTTTATTATTAGTATTAGCAGTAGTACAATATAATTTTTTTTATGTTATTAAAACAATTTCCAATGTGTTTTAGATGGATTTTTAATTCCGAAAGATGTGACAGTTATCATATCCATGCACGATCTACACCACGATCCAGAAATATATCCAGAACCCGAGAAGTTTGATCCTGATAGATTTTTACCAGAAGTAACAGCTAAAAGGCATCCCTATGCTTATATCCCGTTCAGTGCTGGCCCTAGAAGTTGTATTGGTAAATTAACAAATTATTTACACACCTATATTATTCTTTATAAATATAGACAAAATAAATCCAAGAAAATCTGAAACAAAGATAAAACTCAGCACATACAGGGTCCGGCAATAGTGTGTTGGGTTGGGCATCTGTAGCTCCTGAATAAAAGACTTGGGAATTTTGTTTAAGTGCAAAGTGCAAACGTAAAGTATACAGGGTGTCCCAGGCTGAGCGTGCATTAGAAGTTTCTAGAGAACCACAATATCTAGATCGGAGATTTTTTGCACATCATTGTTTTACAATGAGATCTATCGATTAAAAATATTTTCAATATGGTGCTCTTCCGGAAATACCGGAAGTTGACAGCAACTTTCTTATTTTAAATGGATGCCCCCATTTTTTATTACATACTTAAATTCTCTGTAAAATTCTATGAATACTGATGTTAAACACTTTATATACCTACCATTAACCGTTTTTGAGAAAACAAATATTTAAAATCTTTGGATGAAAAAAATTACCTGTTAAAAAAAATGGTATAGCCTAAAAGTCAAACTTAGTGATTGCCACAGCCACTACGACATAAAGAGAAGACATGTGGCTATCTATTTCAAAAATTAAATTGTTCAAATGTCATGTAATAATGGCGGTAGCTGCCATGGAATTGAGCCATTAAAAAATTATCATAAATCATTTTTTTCAAATGGAAACCCACTTTTTTTATTTCACTAATGAAAAGGTTTTTCAATTCATTACTTTCTAACTATACATGTTCCTATACCTAAAATAAATCGTTTTTATGTTTTTTAAGATTTAATTTGAAAAGGTATATTTTTTTTTATTTTATCTAGCTTCCTTTGACATTTAGTGTCAAACGGTCAGAAAGTTTATTTCCATCTGTCAGAAAACGAATTATTTGAATTTCCTATATTATAAATACTGCCTGCCCCCCCTTAACTGTTTAAAAAGTGTATTTATAAAAATATATCTCGTATTTTCGCTCTTTAGCTTTGTCTTTGGTGATATCTAATAGTTGATATATTATTAATAATATTCCGTATGATCGAAAAAAAACAGCGCTAAGTTGACTCGGAAATGATGCTGCTTTTTGAACAAAGCGTCACAATATGAAATGGCCAGGATCTATTGTTTTACATCACTTAATAATAATAATAATAATAATAAATGGCTTTATTAAAGGAAAAATAACAAAATACATCATACTCCTTCTTCAGGCAAACTCTAGCCTATGGCTACTCTACTTAACCTGTTCAAAGAAAAAAAAAATAAATATACAATTATAGTTAGTAATATTTGTACTATAACAATTAGTGAATTAGATATAACTAGAAAAAAAAAAGAAATATTTATAAAAAAATAAAATAAATTAACAAAAAAAAATCATATATTATGACAATAAAAAAACAAAACTCATAAAAAAAGTGATCTGGATCAGGGAGACGTCAAATCTGTTGGCTCATGTAAACCTCTTTAAGCTTTTTCCGAAAAGTGCTTAGAGACATTTTCTTAACATTATTTTCGATATTATTAAACAATAAAAGCCCACTTATTAAACAATTAAACCCACTTGACGTTTAAAGTCATAGGCTACTGGTTAAAATCAAGGAAAATATACGCTTTAAAACTAAATCTTAAATAACTTATAAACGTTTTATTTTAGGTATAGGAACATGTATGTTCAAAAAGTAACGAATTGAAAAGCCTTTTCACTAGTGAAATAAAAAAGTGGGTTTCCATCTGAAAAAAATGACTTATGATAATTTTTAAATCGCTCAAATCTATGACAGCTGCGGCCATTATTATATGACATTCGAACAATTTAATTTTTGAAATAGATAGCCACATGTTTTCTCTTTATGGCACAGTGGCTGTGGTAATCACTAAATTTGACGTTTAGGCTATACACATATTTTTTACAGGCAGCTTTTTTCGTTCAAAAATTTTAAATATTTTTTTTTCTCAAAAACGGTCAATGTTAAATATAGAGTGTTTAATATCAAAATTCATAAAATTTTACAGATAATTTAAGTACGCAATAAAAAATGGGGGCACCCGTTTAAAATAAGAAAGTTGCTATCAACTTCCGGTATTTCCGGAAGTGCCGCCATATTGAAAATATTTTTAATCGATAGATCCCGTTATGAAATTATGATATGCAAAAAATCTCCGAGCTAGATGTTGTAGTTCTCTAGAAACTTCTAATGCACGCTCAGCCTGGGACACCCTGTATACTAGGATGTATTTCAGGGAAATATTTTAAATTCTATAGGGTGGCTCAAAAAAGTGTATCCACTCACAATTTTTCCACAAAAAAGGGCGAAAAATATATATTTCTTATTTATTTCTTAATATCCCTGAAACTATCGAAATATATTTACTGATATCTTACGATTATGTACAGTGATCTGAAAGGAAGCCAAAAATGTAATAACGTACAGGGTGTTTCATTAAAAAAAAGCATCCCGATAGAAGATAAAATATTTTCCTGAAATACATACTAGTACTCGTACATACTTACTTTAAGTTTGCACTTAAACAAAATTATCAGGTTTTTATTCTAGGAGCTACAGATGCCCGATGCACTATTGCCGGACCCTATATGAGGTTTATTTCGTAATTTTTAGGTCAAAATTTTGGTTTGAAAAACACCAAAACTATACTTGCCTATATACTGAGAAAGTTCAACATTACATGTTTAGAAAAACCAGAAGACATTAAAAAAGCATATGAAATTGTACTTAAACCTCTGAGTGGCTTAAAAGTAAAATTAGAAAAGAGACATGCATAGAAAATAAAAGACATAGAGCCTCAAAATGTATTTAAATAGTTTTCTGTATATTTTTATTGTTCTTTTATTTATTATACTTAATTATATTGACTGATTAGTTACAGATATTGATTAGTTTTAATCTGTTTTATTCTATTTAATATACAGGGTGGTCCGAACTGTATTGTCTGTACAGGGTATCCGAACTGTATAAAAAAGTTCGTATAAATGTATGTCCTAAAATACTTAGTTTCGGAGATACAGGGTGTAGAAGTTTCATTTTTATTACAAATTTTTTCAAATAGTTTATGAACTAACGTCAATATTTGGATGAAAATTGGTGTCTGGGAGTTTTTTGTATATGAGAAATTTGATTTTGATGTCAATATGACTCCTACCTGTAGAGGGCGCCACCTACATATTTTTTAACGGGTTTGAAGAGCAATATCTTTTTGTCCGTACCTGTATAAAACTACTGAGTACAAAAATATACATTACCGACGTTTTTTTACGTAAAAAAGGTCTCTTGGTAAAAGTCGCTACGAGGAATGGTTCTCGAGATATTTGGAATCAAATTTGTCAGTACGTGTCATCACTGACATAAATTAAACATGTTGACTAAATAGTTATTAGACTGAAATCATAAATTTGAAATGTTTTTGTGCCAAAACTTCAACAGAAACGTTTTATCATCGTTTTTTCGCAGAAAAATGTATGATTAATTTGAAAAAATAAAAATTTACCAAATTTATTATTGCAGTCAAATAACTATATCTATTTTTTGTCAATAATGACTTATATTGACTATTTCCATTTTAAATATTTTGAGAACGGTTTGCTCGTAGTGATTTTTACTAAGAGACATTTTTTACGTAAAAAGTCACGAAAATTTATATTTTTTCACTCAGTAATTTTATACAGGTACGGACAAAAAGTTATTACTCTTCAACACAGTTAAAACACATGTAGCTGGCGCCTCCTACAAATAGGTGTCATAGTCACATGAAAATCAAATTTCTCATGTCAAAAAACTCCTAGACACCAATTTTCATCAAAATATTGACGTTACATCAGAAATTATCCTATTATTATATTGGAAAAAATCGAAATAAATATGAAACTTCAACACCCTGTATCTCCGAAACTAGGTATTTTAGGACATACATTTATACGAACTTTCTTACTTATTTTTATCTGAAGAATGCGCTGCCGAAGTTTTCGGAATACAGTTCGGACCATCCTGTATACAGGGTAACAATTTGAAAACGAACAGTATTTAATATTGCCTCTACCGATGATAGTATGAAAATTTGGCGAAACAAGTCAATTTACATATCAAGGGGGACAATTTTTGAGGCATTTGTTGTCGTGTTACTTTCAACCCCTTGACTACCCCTAAAATTCTAAATAGCAACCCCTATTTCTTTTCCATTTTTTTTACATAAACTGCATTATTTTTTTGAGAATTTTATAAGGAACACAAAAATGGTAAAAGAAATCGGGGTTGCCATTTAAAATTTTAGGGGTAGGTGCCCTGGGGGTCAAAGGGTTGAAAGTAACACGACAACAAATGCCTCAAAAATTGTCCCTCTTGATATGAAAATTGACGTATTTCGCCAAATTTTCATACTATCATCGGTAGAGGTAATATTAAATACTGTTCGTTTTCAAATTGTCACTCTGTATATGTAAAATTAATTATATTAAATTTATAATAATATATGTGTTAAATAAACGAATAACTACATGAAACTAAATTCGTATTTTATTCTTGTGCAAACTATTTAAAAAAATCGTCCTAAAAAATTAATTATGCTGTACTACGTATCTATCCAATTATGTAATTAATAGAATTCACATAATTATAGGTTAAAATAACATGCTTTCCGTAAATACATTACACGCACACGAGCATTGTGACGTTGGGATTACCTTTTAATGAAGTATTTAATACCTTTTTTTAAAGTGAAATGAAAATTAAAATAAATTATCAGTCTTGGCTAATATTTTTCACGTTTTTAGGGCTCACGTTTTCAATACAATATAAGGTTTGGTGCATTCTCCGCCGGTGCTGCCACCATCGGAGAATATCGTAAACAATCGGTATATACAAATACACAGGTTTAAATGGCGAGTATACGAAAAAAAATTATATAATTATTCTAAAAGTATTAGGAAAAATAAAAATAAAATAAAAAAGTAAATATTTTGATATCTTCAGAAGGTCTAACTTGTATTATTATTTATTATTGAAGCTAATAAAACTTTTCAGATTAGAGTTATTAGAATTCAACTACGGTAGCATACTAAGAGCATAGTTACTACGAGCATAGTTTTACGCACCGGTTTTGCTAGTGGGGACATAACTTGGCCTATTTCGGCTATAACTAAATTTTTGAAGGTACATAATTATAATTTTAGAAGATTAAAAAATTAAGCACTAGTTGGTTAAAAAAAGAATATACCATTAATATTATTATATTTTATCCTCTCATAGTATACCTATGTCCATTTAATTTTTTGATTTATTTTTTACTCATTTGTTTCGTCGAACTGCTTGAATCCATTTTTGCTTTTGATCAAATCGGTGTGAGAAGCTTTAAAATGTTCATTCGGGAGAGTTGAATATCTGGGAAAGTTGAGTTATTGAATGCCATTGCACCCAACAACCACGTAATTACGCCCTCCTTTAAGCATTAACATTTTTTCGGCAATTTTATTAACATTTGAAATTGTCAGACAACGCGACGCGACGCCCAGTAAGGGTTTTTTTCACTTAATTTTTACTACCCGAATCAGCGTTACATCACACAAACCTCGTAACTGATAGTCTAAGAGCTGGCTACATCAAAAACCTTATCATCGTTACATGGCTAATTTTTCATGTGAAGTATCCTTTTGCGTATAGTCATATTATGAAATAGTCATGTCTGCTAGCGCGATCCCGCGGCTTAAAGCGGGGGCGGCCAATCGAAAAGGTGAAATTTGGACACTAAAAATATTATAAGGTACACGAGTTATAATTGCGAAAATAGTTTTTATTTATTATTGAGAAACGTGGAGAATTGTTGGAACACATTTTTCTCAGCGCTAAAATGCTGGCAGACAACGCGAAAGAGGCATAACATTTTGTTAAAAAAAAGTATGGCATACATGCATGCCGATTGGTAAATGTCATATTTATTTAAAAATCCGTATATAAAAGAACAAACAAATAGATCGTGGCTAAATCAGCGGTAGTTATCAAAAGCGCGATATTACTCTAGCGCTTTCAGGGAACGCTCGCCGCCTCATTCATTTAAGTATAGATAAATCATGTATGCGATTATATTATAAATATTTTTTTTATTATTTCAATAACAGATACCATACATTTACTATTCTGTCTCACTATTTGTAACAGACTCCCTTAGTCTTCCTCTTAGTCTCCCTCTTAATCGATATCTGCACCGTAATTTTTTTACGTAGACTTACGCGCTTCTGATAACTGTCTACAGTTGATTGAGCCACGATTTTTTTGTCTGACCGTTTGCATACGGCTCTTTAATTAAATATACATGACATTCCGCCAATCGGCATGCATGTAGTTTTTTTTGTCAAAATTTTATGCCTCTTTCGCGTTGTCTGCCGGAATTTTAGCCTCGAGAAAAATGTCTGCCAAGAATTTTCCACGTTCTTAATAATAAATATAAGTTATTTGTTAATTATAACATTTTTAGTGTTAAAATTTCACACGTTCGATCGACCGCCCCCGCTTAAGCCCCGGGATCGCGCTGGCAGACATGACTATTTCAGAATGGCTACACAAAAGGATAATCCACAAGAAAAATTAGCTATGTAACGATGATAAGGTTTTTTATAGGTCCAATAACTGGCACTAACAAAAAACTAAAATACTTAAATATTATGACAAAGCCACGATTTCAATATTATTTTAATACTATCAACATGAACTGTACCCGGAACGGCGTAAATAGCATAGTAAAAACTTCTGATTTCTGCCGTATACACGTTTGATTGAAGCCAATAGGAATTATTATTTACATTAAAATCTTTTCATATTACTTATTCTGTTTTTTTTTATTTTTTGATATTACCAACAATACTGATAATGGTAATGATAAAATTGTAGGAATCAAACCATATTTTCAAATGGTACTGCTTTTGTCGACATCCTCTAAATATGTCTGGAAACAGCTGTCTAAACTCTTGGTAGGCGACGGTTTTCCAGTTACATTTTCTCTGCGACCACACTCAAATAATTTGTAAAAAACTTTATTGTCAAAAAAATATTTTTAGTGTAAACCTGAATCCTGGTAGTAGGTATCGCGTCACAACGATACTCATACTCTACACCTACTTAAATTTTTAAATAACCTAGAAGAAGTTCCTATACCGTGTGTTTCTCAAAAGTGGCTCACCCCTATAACTTCTTTATTTTTTCAGATAAATAAACGAGATTTGGTACGTTGGTACATGACATAAATCAAGGTTAATTGACGTGTTCAATTGTTTCGGTCACTTCCTGTTTCACCGGAAATGACTACAACTTTTCATTTTTAAATCGCACCCTCGGTATTTTTTTACTTTATTCGATAGAAAATGACACTCTCAATAAAATGGTTGAATAATCATTACTTTTTGATATAATTTTTTAATGAGACGAGATGGATAGTGACTATTGACGTAAGGTCATATTACGCTGCGTTGGATACTCTATACTAAATTTAAAAAAAAACGTTAAAGAGAGTCCAGGTTTTAATAAAGGATAAGAAAACTAACGATATTTTAGAAAACGTCTGTAATACTCAGGTATACAAACAGAAAAAAAATTGTAAAAAATACTATAATACTTTGCTGTGACTTTGTGTTGCCTCTCTTGGCTGCTATAACTGCCTGTAATACGTCTGTTCATACTGTCATTGAGGCTGCATAATATATCATATTTATTGCGTTATGTTATCCCACTCTACTTTCAGGAGCAAGCTAAGTTCACTTAATGAAGCTGGTACCGCTTCGTGACCTCTAACCCTTCTGCCAAGCATTTCTCAAATGTCGAACATGATGGGCAGTTCATAGTAGTAGATAGTTCACAATAATGACCAAAGTGCCTTGTCATATTGAAAAGTAACTTCAAAATGAAATGACAATTGAAAAAGTGCAAATTGTTGGTGGCAAGTTCTTTTCGCTCTTTAAAATTAACCTAGGCATGTATTGACATGATCCAAAAAATAAAATGCTCAGGAGACATTGTTCTGACCGTAAAATTATATTTTAGGAAAATTTACATACGAAATTATTGCACAGGGTGTTTTAAATTTAGGGTAAAAAAACAACCTCTCGATTAACCCTGTATAATATGCCAAATACTAAAGTTTATAAAAAACTCAGTTTACAAGTTAAAGTTGATAAAATTATATACAGCTTGCTAAAAAAAATCATGAAAATAGGGCTAAAAATATAACACTTTAAATTTTACCAAAAATTTCTCCGTTGCGTTTTTTTGCATCTGAGGTTATATCGTGTATCTATACTATGGTAAAAAATTTCCCATTTTCTCAATCTCTTATATAAATGCCTCCTAGCGCGATACACAAAACCAATATCCCTACTTGAAATTTTCGCGACACTTTTCAGCCAAACTTTTGCAAATTTCCCGGAAATTTTACCTCCATTTATTAGCTAAATGGTCCGCAAACCTCTTACGGAATACTTACTTTTATAAAGCCCAACCCAATTTTCCAACACTTTTTTCACCCCTCACAAGTCGGAAAATTAACAATTTATTAAAAACAATCTTTATAGCTCGGTGGCAGCTGGCAGCACCGGCGGAGAACGCACCAAGCCTATAATATCATAATTCTTATTAGTGATTTTTTTTTCTGAATACTACTTTTATAAATCCCACATTAAATTTATAAAAGTAGTAAGGAATCAGTAATATAAATAAATAAATCATAAATTTCAATGGAATAAAAATATAAATGTTCAGTCTTAAAATTAAAAAAGAGAATCTTCAGAACTTCTAACTTGTATTATAATTTATTATTCCACCTAAAAAACTTTTTAGATGGGTTCAACCATAGTTTCACGTACCGGTCTTGCTAGTGGGGTCATAATTGGGGCCATTTCGGTTATAACAAATTTTTTTAAAGGTACATAATCATAATTTTAGAAGATGTTCATAAAACATTTAATCACTTGATGATTAAAAAAAGTATACCATTAATATTGCAAATTATATTTCATCCTATCATATTATATGTATATTTAATTTTTTGATTTTGTAACGAGCACTTTGTTTACTCACTTGTATCATCGAACTTGAATTCATTTCACTTGAATCAATTTTTGCTTTTGATCAAATCGGTGTGAGAAACTATGAAGCGATAAGATGTTGTTTCGGGAGAGTTGAATATCCGGGAAAGCTGAGTTATTGAATGCTATTGCACCCAACAACGCCCTAATTGCGCTCTCCTTTCCGTGTTGACATTTTTCGGCAAACATTTGAAATTGTCACAACACAACACGACGCCTAGTTCGGATTCTTTTCCACTTATTTTTTACTATCCGAAACAGCGTTACATATACATACATACTGCCATTACCATTACTCACTGACGAGTATTCGACACGTATCAGAAGATGGTCACGTAAGGCGTTTTCTTTCATGACCTTTTCTGTGACTGAAAAGTCCGATACGTGTGATGTTATCTGCCTACCGCACTCCGGACATTCAAAAATCTCATTGCTTTTTTGCCTCTTTACTTTTTGATTGTCGCTGTTGACTGAGTTTACAATTCTTTTCCATTGAGTTCTATTGTGAACTGCTTCTTCCCACTCATTCTGCATGTTAATCTCCTTTAAGTTTTCGTGGAAAATGTCCTTGTACCTTTTCAGTTGCCACACCCGGCCTTCTCTACAATTCCGTCTACAAATTCACCGTAAAGCAGAGATTTTGGTATGCGGTTTTCTTGCATTCTGCATACGTGACCAGCCCATCTTAAGCGGGATTTTGTAACCATGACTTCAATACTCTCGCAGTTACCTTATTCAAGGACCGATACGTTTGAGACATGATGGAACCACCGGATTCTTAGCAGAAGCATTCTTAACAGCGTTACATCAAACAAACCTCGTACCTGAGTGTTTTATAGTTTCAATAACTGCACTAGCAAAAAACTAAAATATTTAAAAATATTATGACAAAGCCACGCTTTCAATATTATTTTAATGCGATCAACATGAACTGTAACGGTAGTTTTAAGTTCTTTTCAGTTAATTAAAAATATACAGTGGTCCCAAATAAAAATCAATTTTTCTGTTTATAACTCTTAAATTATTAATTTTAAAAAAATATACTTAAACCATTAAGTTCTGCGTAAAAAGTGCTTTGGGAATGTTTTCATAGAAATACAACATTTTCCATAGCAAAAAATTTACAGCGATTTGTTAAAAATGCTCATTTTTGTAACCTTTTTGAAAGGACGGCGTGAAATACATTTCTGATTTCTGCCGTATACAGCGCTGCGGTCGGAATTTTTTTAAATCAACTGAAATATACCAAGCCTATAGCTACGATTCTGTGCGTTAAGTTACGTATTTAATTCTAAATACATACTTTAACTTCCTGTCTGTACACGACAACGCAATCACAGCCGTAACGTAAGATTCTGCGTTACGTCTCAAGAGATGCGCCTAAATTTTTTACCGTGCTCTAACTGTCTATTAATATCTATTTTTTTTTGCTATTCTTGAAATAATATAATTTCATTCCATACGTCATATCCACTACAATATTCTGAGATACGATTGTTGTTATCTTTAAGAACCTATATAAATTGATTAGGTTTAAAATCAAAGACTTATTTTGAAGTAGCCTTAAGAAGAGAAACATTCTTTAAATTAATTTTCTTTTTAACTAAAAAGTTTTTAAAATTTAAAAACTTTCCACTCTTTAAAAATGGATCTTATATTAGCTGGTTTAGTAGTTACATTGTTTTTTATATTAGTTTTGCCTTTATTCAAATTGTATGGTAAAAACAAGTTTATTCACAAGTGTATTGATGTTCTGCCTGGGGATAAATGGTACCCTTTAGTCGGTTCTTCTTATAGTCTTCTAAGAACTCCAGTCGAAGGTATGTATTTTTAAATATTTGTTTGTCTATATGGGTACAAGCTCGGTTTTAAGGGAGGGGAAATTACCCCCCTTAGACCAATCATACTTAAAAAAAATAGTAAATTTTATTAATAGTATATAGTAATTTCCCCTAAACATTCCCCTATAGCAATTTATTATTAGATGTACAGAAGGAGTCTTAAAAAAGTGCAAATATTTTCAGGGATAGATCTCGGTAAAAGAAACATATTTTCTCTTTGCCGTTTTTCCAAAATAGTAAGTCCAAAAGAGTTATTTTACTTTGAAAATTTCCAAAAAAAAATTGTTTTCTGAAATTTTAAGAGCCACTAGGTCTTTTTTGTTTTCTTTCTTGTAAATTTAATCTACTACTTATATTGTCATATTATCAAGAAATTATGTTTTTAACTAGAAACTAAGAAAATTTCAATTTTTTTTTCAAAAATACCAAATTTCCAATTTTTTTTTTACGAAAAAACTCTCATAATCATGATTTTGGGTCGAAACGTACTACCTCTAAAAATATTTGCACTTATTTAAGACTCACTTCTGTACAGGGTGGGTCAAATTGGACGCTTTTAAAGGGAAACACCCGTTTCTATAGGAGATCTAAACTAATATCGGTGTCTGGAGCTCAGTTTTTATCAAAAACATGATAGTGAGAACCGCCTGCATCTATATCTATTACCGTTTCGGAGTTGTTTTTCAAAAATGAGCATTTTTAACAAATCGCTGTAACTTTTTTGCTATGGAAAATTTTGTATTTCTATGAAAACATTCCCAATGCACTTTTTACGCAGAATCTAATGGTTTAAGTATATTTTTTTTAAATTAATAATTTAAGAGTTATCAACAGAAAAATTGATTTTTATTTGGGACATCCTGTATATTTTTAATTAACTGAAAAGAACTTAAAATTATCGTTCCACAAATATAGCACACTTGATATTTTGTTATAGTCCCCTTCGAAATACAGAATTTTTTAAAGTTCGCCACTTTTAACTAGTAGGCTTTGGACCCCTTATTGATGATCTGCCCCTGATGAAACTCGAAAACATTTTTTTTCCCAGCTAAAACGAGGCACCGCCTCAGAACGCTGAAGTTATTAGCAAATTTCTGCAGCCAATTGCAAGAATAATTGAATAGCTAACCCAGATCCCAGCCGTTGGCCATCGAGGCCGCTGGACTTAGTGCCTATGGATTTTTTTCTTTGCGGAAGAATAAAGGTTCTTATTTTTAAATTACCCATATAATCTGGACAAAAATTAGAAGTACTTAGCGGTTATGCGAGGGTATCTTTCACCCCCACTGAGTTAATGAATTCCGCGAGAAATGTTCAAAAACGGTCCCGTCTGTAGCAAAATCTCATGTCTAGATTTGCTATAAATTTTTATTGTTATCAGATATAGGTTAAATGTGTTGAAAGACGTCGTTCAAAGCCTACTTATTCAAAGTGGACAAATTTTTATAAACTATATATTTCGAAGAGGACTCGAGCAAAATATCAAGTATGTATATATTTTTGGAAAGGTTATTTTAAATTAAAAAAAAATTAAAGATGCCCGGTGGCGTAGAGGTACAGGCTCTCGTCTACCAATCTGAAGGTAGTGGGTTCGATTCCCACACCCGGCATTTCATCAGCCGACTATTTTTATTAAAATAAAAATAGTTTGGATACCTAGGTCGACTCAGCCTTAAATGAGTACTTGGGATTCACAATAGCGTAGTGCTAGCCACATTACCTTCCTTTTATACCGAACGGCTCTAGTATGGCAAGGTATACAGGTATACCGTGCTACTCCCAAGAGCGGGAGTACGGACGCTATATACGGGAGCTATTATTATTATAATTTTAAATTATTTTCAATTAATTAAAAATATATAGGGTGTCCCATATAAAAAATCAAATTTTCTCTTGATAATTTTTAAATTATTAATTTTAAAAAAAATATATTTAAACCATTAAATTCTACGTGAAAAGGTGCTTTGGAAATGTTCTTATAAAAATACAAAATTTTCCATAGCAAAAAAGTTACAGCAATTTCTTAAAACGAACGGTGCGGTGGTCTAAATGCTTTTACTTAAACAACTATTATCTCTCTGGTCGTCGTCTGAGTTCACTCTCCCTAGTTTGTGAATACTACTTAAAAATCAATAATTTTATTTATGAATACAGAGTGTCTTAAAACTGAATGTTTTGATGTAAAACCTCTGACGAGGGGTAGTAAAACTCACAATCTTTTAGGATGTTAATTTCAAAATTTAATTTGATTTAAAATTGGGGCGACATGTTTCGGGATTCATTTAACTCCCATCTTCAGGCCCAGAAAGCTAAAATAATAAAATTACAAGCAGAATAGTTAAACAATTCTGATATAGTCATACAGAGGTCAGGTTATAAAATACAATCACAAACAAATTCAAAAGGTTAAAAAAAATCAAAAATGGTTAAAAATTATTTTTATCACAATTACTTAATCACAGACATCTTATGGTAAGCTTAGTTGGAAATTAAAACAACTAAATTACAATCAGAAAGGGCAATAATACTCAATTTAAGTTCAACAAGAGGCGTAACTAAAAAACAATTCTCAGAAAAGGTTGGGAAAATCCTTTCAAGAAATTTTTAGGTGCTTTTTAGGAACAACTAAGCTTACCATAAGATGTCTGTGATTAAGTAATTGTGATAAAAATACTTTTTAACCATTTAAAAAAAAAATTACCTTTTGAATTTGTTTGTGATTGTATTTTATAACCTGACCTCTGTATGACTATATCAGAATTGTTTAACTATTCTGATTGTAATTTTATTATTTTAGCTTTCTGGGCCTGAAGATAGGAATTAAATGAATCCCGAAACATGTCGCCCCAATTTTAAATCAAATAAAATTTTGAAATAAACATCCTAAAAGATCGTGAGTTTTTTGAGTCCTCTACCCCTCGTCAGAGGTTTTACATTCATATGTACTCACACTGGGTTGGAGAACGTTAAGTGAATGTTTTGAATTTAAAGAAATATGTCTATTTTTAAATAGGCGGGTCATCTCAGGCTATTTATTTTTAAAGAATGATATTGAAAAAAAATATAAATTTTTAGACAGATGGGATGCCATGAGCCAGAAACATTCCATATTCGGACCAATTTACAGATCTTGGTACGGCCCCAAGCCGAGTGTGCACATATACAAACCAGAGCACATTCAGGTATGTTCTAAAACATATAAAACAAAAAAAGAGACTAGAACAAGTTTTGTTTTATTCTAGAAACTTCTGAAAAGTCAGACACAAATTTACAAAGGCAAAAACTACCAGGCATTCACATCGTGGTTAGGTCAGGGACTTATGTTAGGAGGAGGTAAGACTTTTTTTCCGTGTACACAAAATTTCCTTTTTTTTCTCGATATACTTTAAAAAATAATGTTTTTATTTTCATTCAAAATAGGTGATTATTGGAGAAGACATAGAAAAATCATAAGACCAGCTTTCTATGCAGCTATTCTTGACTCATACATGGACATTTTTATAAAACACGCAGAGAATGTTGTCGATGTTTTGGACAAACACGTCGGAGATGATTGCGTCGACATTTTCCCTTACTTAAATCAGTGCGCCTTAGATATCATTGCTGGTATGTCATATAAAAACAATATTTTTATAGGATGCAATATAAATAATATATATTTTTTTAAAAATCTAGAAACAGCTATGGGCGTTAAAATAGATTTTCTCAAGAATCCAAGTTCCGAATATCCTCAAGCTATTACAAAGTGAGTATTTTAAATATACATGTACACGTTGTCCAATTTTATTTGTTTTTCTATTTGTATTTTTTTATTTTAACACACGAAAATGGGACACCCTGTACACATGATACCCTTAAATATTAATTTATTTTTTTAGTTACGCACTTTTGGCTGTTAAAAGGATGTTCCACCCAATTGGACAAAATGAGTTTTTGTATGGACTAACTGAAGATGCGAAACATATGAAAATGAACTTGGATATTATACAGAAGTTCAACAAAAAAGTAAGTGTTTAATTTTTTTAAAGGAATGGATTTTAATTAAACTCTTTTAAACTTTAAAAATACAAGGTGAGTCTCAAAGGTGGCTCACCCCTATAGTTTTTTTTTCAGATAAAAAATCGAGATTTAGAATGTTAGTTTATGACATTTAGGATTGATTGACGTATTCAATTGTTTTCGGCCACTTCCTCTGTTTTACCGGAAATGGGTACAGCTTTTGATTTAAAAATTGCACCCTCGGTATTTTGTTAGTTTATTCGATATAAAATGACACTCTGAATAGAATGACATATCAAATGTCAACTTTTGAGATTTTCCAATATATGTAATTTATTTGAAATTGCATGATGTGATTCATAACGAAAATTTGACTCGAAATACCAAGTGTGTGGTACCAAATTACTCGTAAAAAATGCTTTTTCCAAATATGCTAATGAGCCACTCACGTTCCATTTGAAAAAATTGAGATATGATTAAAAATACGATTTTGGCATCTCAACCGGCCAGAATAAGACAAAAATATTAGACGATCAAAAAATGTATTTTTCCAAGGCTCCTTGATTAGAAATTAGTGTTTTTAACACAGCCATGACATTCTAGATAAAAATTTAAAATACAATTTTGAATTAAATCAAAATGTCAAAAGTGGACACATGATATGTCAATATATTCAGAGTGTCATTTTTTATCGAATAAAGTAAAAAAATAGCGATGGTGCCATTTAAAAATCAAAAGTTGTAAACATTTCCGGAAGTTTTCAAATAGGAAGTGGCCGGAAAAAATTGAATACATCTATCAGTCCTAATTTATGTCATACAGTAATATACCAATTTTTGTTTTTTTTTATCTAAAAAAATAAAAAAGTTACAAAGGTGAGACACTTTTAAGACGCACCCTGTATTTCAGAAAACTTTTTAGAACTGCCTGTTCACCGAAAATTTTCCCACGGTATAATTTCTTAATCTCTCATATTACCATGGTTACGGCACTAAAAGGGATGCAGATACAGAAAAATCTGGTGGCTCTCAAAATTCTTTAAAAATAAATCAACTTGTTTAAAATTTTCAAACCTGAATAACACGATTTCGGACTTATTTGAAAAACGGCAGAGAGAAAATATGTTTCTGTTTCTATACAGGGTGAGTCTTAAATAAGTGCAAATATCTCTCGGTGCTGGTAGATCTTGATAAAAGAAACATACATATGTTTTCTTTACCGTTTTTCATATAAATCTAAAATAACCGAGTTATTTTACTTTAAATATTTCGAAAGAAAATATTCTTTGCTTTAAATTTTGAGAACCACTGGATCTTTTCTGCGGTTTCTTTCTTGTAAATTTAGTCTACTACCTATGTTACCATATTATCAAGAAATTATGTTTTTTAACTAAAAACTAAAATAAATCCCTCATAATCGTATTTCTGAAATCGAAATATACAACCCCTAAAAATATTTGCACTTATTTAAGACTCCCTATATAAAACTGACTGGGCTGTTGTAAATTGAATTCTGTTTGTTTTAGATTATTGCTGATAGAAAGTTACTATACCAGCAGAACAAAGCGGATGAATTCCATGACTCTGATAGTAAGAAAAACCTGACTTTCTTGGACTTATTACTTTCTTACCAAGAATCGGACAATTTCACAGATGAAGAAATTGCAGAGGAGGTAAACACATTCATGTTTGGGGTAAGTGTGATCTTTACTTTTGTTTATTAGGATTATTTTTTAATTTAAAATTAAACTTTTTTGATAGGGTCAAGATACTACATCGCTTACTGTAACATACACTTTACTAGCAATAGGAAATCATCCTCATGTGCAGGTAAATATAAGTATATTAAATAATTTTAAGTGATTATTTCCCTCATCGTGAAATGGACCAATCAGCTAATCTAATTTTTCGAATAAATTTTGTTTAGATAAGTGATTAAATTCCAAGACTAGTTTAACCGCGATTATTTTTTCGGCTTCCTTTTGGGTTTTCTTTTTGTCGTTTATCACTAATTCTGAGAGATTTTGGCAACAGTTCATTTAAAAACATTGATTTACAACTCATATGTATGACCTAATAACGATTTTAATCGGTGAAAACCCCTTATTCGATATTATTTTGAACAAATCTTCTTCTTTACGTGCCGTCTCTTTCGTGGAGGTTGGCGATCACATTGGCAAAATCTTCACGATTCTCGGCTTTCCTTATAAGTTCTTCAAAAGTTAGGTGAGTCCAGTTTCTGATGTTTCTCAACCAAGATAGTTTCTTCCTGCCGAGACTTCTCTTTCCTTCAATCTTACCCTTAACTACCTCTAACTTACTTTGAACAAATAAGTGGAGAAAAATACGTCAGAATTTGATATGTTGACGTGATGTTGACATGCGAAACGGTCCTCGATGCATTGTTGCGATGCGTAACCAAGGTAGCAGAAGCACAAACATTACCAGAGACATTACTTACGAGACGTCATTTTGAAACGTCTTTAAATTTTATTTACCGCTGCGCTGCTGTCATAGACTAATGTCACGTACTAGAGATAGATTGGACACTGATATAAAACAAATGGATCCGTCATTTAGAGCCACCTGGTGATCCGGAAGAAACTAATGGAGAGTTTTGGCATTACATAATTTTAGCGTTCCGTTACTTATTAACGCTCATTAAAACGGTAACGTTATTCGAGCGCAAAATTATTCCTTGTAAAATATAACATAATAAATATAGACTTTTTTACTGCCATTTTATGTTTTATTAGATCATTAGAAGTGTAACATAACTAAAACAAAATTAAAATTATGAAAACATACATTTTAAACACCAACAATAGATCACATAGCGCCTATTTTTTTGATTTAGCAACTAAATTATAATATAGTAAAAATATTATAGACTATTAATTGACAGTTACTAAAAATAGGTACAGTATATTACCAACTATGTACTTACTTATTTATGATTAAACTATTTTTTATTTGGCTCATAAATTTATCACTTCTAAAATGTCAAAATGACTTTATAATAAAAAAGTTTAGTATCTAACACGAAAATGATGATCGACTGTAAATATCAGAATGCACAAACTAATAAAAACACAAACTATAAACACAAATCACTGAAATCACTAAACTTTCCGACAAATCAGGAATATTTGAATTAATAATTATTTAAATAATTATTTAAAAATAACTTGAAGGATCACCAACATTTTGTCAACTAGACAAAACTAGACCATAGACTGTTAACATAGAGACTGTCATGTCATCTTCATATATAAATTAGAAACCTGTACTTTAATGTCTTTTGCGCCGTCTAGCGATGCGGAAGAAACTAAATTTGTAGTTCTATAAAATTACCATTGAGTGTCTAGGGCATGGCTGCTGTAGTGAAAATGTTGTTTGTAAAAAAAATGTTGTCCGAAAATGCTAAATTTTATAGTTAATAAAATTCTTATAGTTCTTTGCTTCATCCTAAGCATTCGCTTCATTTCTAAATCATTCAGGAAATAATCTAGCCGTATATCACTCAACCTATAAATTTAATTGATTAAACTACCCAAATAATTTTTTGCATGATTTTGCTTTTTAGAAAACAGTTTCATGGACAATAATTTTGGAATAAAAACCATTTATTTTATATTATAGTTATCAAATTTATTAAATTATTGTGCATTCAACTATTTTCCAAGCAAAATCACGCGCAAAATATATTTAAATAGTTTAATCGATTAAATTTATAGATCTCGTGATATAATATATGAGAATTACTCTTGCTAAAGTATTTTATCTTATTACTCTGGATTTTTAACTCAGAGTAATAAATCTATTTTCTAGAGTTCGTGTATGTTGACATAGAATTACCTTCATCCCCTTCTTAAAATAAGTTTTTCTCAAATGATAATGATATCTATTATTATTTGAAACCTAAAACAAGAAATATTAATTTAAAACTAATTTTATTCTAACACAAAAACTTTTGGCAAATCTGTAGAGCCACGGCTCCGTTTCAGTTTTTCTGTCACTTTTTGTCTTTAAGATACGTTCAGGATTGACTTCAATTTCAGTTGTCAGTTCAGTTGTCCGTTCAGTTCCAAAATAACGACCTATTTAGACAATCAGTTGATTGAGTTTTCATTATTCTCGTGCACAGTGCAGTGAAGAAGAAACCAAGAATGAAAAGAAATAAATGGAGCAAAGACTGGCTTCTAAAGACACATCACATCACTGTCTCATGTAAATTTAATGAATGGACTTCACTTTGTACATTCTGATTGGTCAAACTATTTACGTTAAATGAAGAAGCTTTTAGAGAATTGCTGCATTTAGTGACCACAATTATAAAAAAAAATTATCGCCACATTAAAGGCTAAGTGCAACAGTAAGATTTTTGGCAACTGGGAATTCTTACCAAGGTCTTAAATTGCCTACAGTAATATCAGGTCCTTTTTATTAAAAAAAACGGCCCCCAAGACGGCTGGCGAATGACAATCGTTGATAATTTTCGCGAGTTCTAGCCCTAGACGTCATTCATTTCTTGGCCCCTTACTCTTCTTTATTTTTTTAATGGCGCTTACTGCCAGTTGGTCTTAAGAAGATTGTAATTTATATTTATATTTAGTAAAAATTATTTTTAAATGGCGTAGTTTAAAATCAAAAAAAATCTTTAGAATTAGATATGTGTGCTTGGAAATTGGAAACGTTCTTTTCCTTTTTAATCATTCTATAATTACTGTTAACTGACGCTTTTTTTCGATCATACGGCATTTCTTCAGAACGTTATAACACGCCTTTCTTTTTTGACTATTATGGGTCCTTTTTCTCCGCAAGCATGGGTATTTTTCATAAAGCTCAATAAACTCCATTAGAAAGTCGTGTCTGGACATTGCGCAAGATAGGTACCTATGTGTTATTATGCTACTGCGGAAACTGACACATAAACTGACATGTTTGTTTACACATCATCTTAACTAACAACTGATACAAAAACTTTGGAAAATCCGTCGCGTCGAGCCAGGGCTCCGTTTCAGTTTCAGTTTATTATAATTTTTCAGTCATTTTGTTATGTTTAAACATACAATAACTGTCAACTGAATTGAAACTGAACGGAAACCTAAACTGAATTTTGGCATAATTAAAGTCAAAGTTAAATCTTTCTCAAAAAAATACGATATAAAATATAAACATATATCAATAGAAAAAAGAGGTAAATATGTTTTTTCCTTATAGAAACGTCTTCAGGAAGAAATTGACAGTATATACAATGGACAAGAAAGACCCGTTACATCAGATGACTTCAGCAAAATGGAATATATGGAGAGAGTTATCAAGGAAACCCTCAGAGCCTATAATTTCGTCCCTTACATATCCAGAAGTTTGGTTGAAGATATTGAAATAGGTATTAGATTAATTTGTGTGTATTATACACTAAAATACTTAAAAATCACAATTTCCCCATTTTTTATGTAGTCCGAGTTATTTCTCTCAACACAATTTTAAATATTAACCTAAAGAACAATTTTCTACATATACCGGGTGCGTCTCAAAACTGGCTCAACCCCATAACTTTTTTATTTTTTCAGATATAAAAAACGAAATTTGGTATGTTAGCATATGACATAAATTAGGATTAATTGATGTATTTATTTATTTCTGTCTTTTCCTGTTTCACCGGAAATAACTACAAATTTCGATTTTTAAATAGCACCCTCGGTTTTTTACTTTGTTCGCAAGGTACGGACGTTATTTTTTTGAGATCGAGGTTCCTACAGCGTAAATACGGAATTGTCGGAACAACTTTTTTCACTGTGAAGAGTGATTGACTGGACATAGTTTAATCTTTTCGGCCGTTAGTGCAGGAAATTATATTTTGGCTTAAAATTTGATATTTGTTATAATTAAATATATTGTAAGGAATTTTATCTCTCTACCAGCCATACCGCAAAAAACGTTATCGTCTGTACCTTCTTTTTTGCGTGTTGATTTGTCGACTCGTTTTATTCATACGAGGGCAAATCAAAGAGTATTTTGTAAATAATTATTAAAAATGGCTCCTGTTGATAAATGCAAAGTATGCGAGGAGAATATTCGAACAAATTCTCCAGCAATAAAATGTAACCACTGTGATTGTTGGATACACAAGAAATGCACAGACCTTACAAATGAGGAGTTTACAAAATTGGCCTCTGCGTCTAAGAAACACTCTCATAAATGGGTCTGTTCCATTTGTCTTAGTGCTGAAGTTAGTATTATAGTCAATGAGCAAGATGTCGAAACAAATAATAAAACCGTTATTGACAAAATGGAAGCTCTTTTTTGTAAATACTTCTTGCCTTTTAAGATCGAGATTGAAAAGACCCTTACTGACATAAAGAGCAATATTAGTTTGGTTGTAGAAGAAAACCAAAGATTAAAAGAGGAAAACCAGGCCATGTGGAACAAGTTGAATCAACTTGAAAGAAACTATAACACCATTAGTAATGCCCTGTCATCCGAAGGTGTTATCAGTGAAATTAATGAGCGAAAGAGAAGAGAGTCGAATGTTATAGCTTTCAATGTTTCCGAATCTCGTAGGCAAACCAAAAAAGAGAGAAACGAGGAGGATTACAACTCAGTCATTAAGGCCATAAATAACCATGCTCAAATCAGCTGAAGATGCACTTACTCTCGTTCGATGTAAACCTCAATTAGAGAACTACTCAGGCCCCTATTTCAAAACAGATTTAACTAAGATGCAGCAATCAAATATTAAGAAATTGAGAGAAGACAGATGAATGGCTGCACAAGTAAAACGATAAGATACATCAACGGAACACCTAAAATAGTAGAAACACAAAAATTTCGGAAGACAGAGGATTCAGCTCTACGTACCTACAGTTAAGTGTTCGTGCAATTTACCAGAATGTGCGCGGACTTAAACGCATGTATTCTTGTTGTCGGTTTCCTCGGGGCTGTATGACATTTTTGCGGTTTCGGGGTCACGGATCCAGACATCTACGCGATATACTGGAAGGATCGGGACTTGCAATGAGTGTGACAAGAGGAGGAGGTGTTATTTTAGCTGTACATTCGAGGTTGCATAACGGGACGTTGAACAATTGGGAAATTTTTCTTGCGACATAGAAGCAACTAACACCCACTAGTACCTAAGGACGCAACCTGTAAAGCGATATAATTTTTATAAAGTCAATTATTATTGAATTAATTATGTATTTTTTATATGAGATATACGATTATTCTCTTGAGAGGTGCAGAATACAAAATAACTTAAGTTTTATATTTAACAACTTGATAGAATGTACTTAATTGTTAAACAAAATAAACTCTGCGGTCCCGATTGCTAATACTCGACAGTGTGAATTTTATCAGCCATTGGCGACATCAAATCTGCAGCAGAAAGCGCCCATATACCGTTCTTGCTTCCTATGGGACAACTTAGCAAATTATAACAATACCAGCGACTTCGTTCGCGTCGAGTTAATCATTTGTAATGGTGATGATAAAGCAAAGCAAGAATTTCCATTAACATACAAACTGGATAAAAATTTCTCACATTTATGTCAGCATGAGAAAAGACAATATACAATATGCTGATATTATTATATAACTTGGTAATATTTGAGGGGTAGTTTCATCGCGATGGAATTTGACTTTCGAAAAATCCGTTTGCCAAAAATAAGCTTTTTACGGCAAGCAGTTTAAGCAGAATCGTGGTTAAGAAATGGTCATATTTTATGAAACACCCTGTATAAATTTATAAAAAATCTTAAAATATGTAAAACAACAAAATAAAATATACGTGTTTAAGAGTTTTTCCGAAAAACTCACCGGCTTTTAAATAAAAAATATTTTAATATTTGAGGGATAGTTTCACCCCCTTAGAATTCGAGTTTCGAAAAATCCCTTATTATCGAACCTCTACACCCTAAAGTCAATCTGTTTTCCAAAAATCATCTTTTTACGTCAAGCGCTTTAAGCAGGATCGCGATTAATCAATGACCAGATTTTTTGAAACACCCTGTATACATTTTTAAAAAATCTTAAAATATGTAAAAAAACAAAATAAAATATACGTGTTTAAGCGATTTTTCGGAAACTTGACCGTTTTTTAAATAAAAAATATTGTAATATTTGAAGGGTGGTTTCACCCTCTTGGAACTGGAATTTTGAAAAATCCCTTCTTATCGAACCTCTACACCCTAGAATCAACCTGTATGCCAAAATTGAGCTTCTTACGTTGAGTGGTTTGAGCAGGATCGTGATTAATAAGTATGTCAGTCACTTAAGGATTTTATATATTAGCCTTGTATATATATATATATATATATATATATATATATATATATATATATATATATATATATATTTTAAATAAACAAGGATATTAGTATAGATTAGTATTAGTATAGACCTAGTTAATATTGTCTTGTTATTGGATTTTTTAATCTGTTAGACAATAAAGCATATTATTATTATTATTATTAAATGACACTCTGAATGGAATCATGATACAAATAAAACAGGATATGATTGCACAGGTTGGCCATTTCGTCATAGGTGATAACGAAAGCCCCATTGCTCGGCACGCTCCGCGCGCCAATTTCAAATCGTCAAATTGATAACATATAATAAATGTGAAAATTATTTTTCAAATGTCAAACTCAATGATTTGACGTAAGACACTTTTGAAGTTATGTCCTAATTCTTCCCTATTTTAGTTCTTTTTTTATTAGTGGCAATGAAAAAATATGGATTTTTTTGCATGGCGTATTGACGTCACAGGTGATATGCGCAAACAAAACAAAATTGGAGCTGCTATCGATCATACCTTGTTTTCTTTGTGTCATGGAATAGAATGATATATCATATGTCAACTTTTGACATTTTCTCACATGGTTTATTTAAATGCATGCGGTTCATAACGACAATTTTGGACACGAAACACCCAGTGTGTGGTACCACATTATTCATAAAAAATATGTTTTTTTCAAATATGCTAATGAGCCACCCCTGCTCCATTTGAAAAAAAAAAAGAGATATTGTTTAAAATACGATTTGAGCATCTTTTAATCGGCCAGGACAAGACACGAAAGGCATTAGATGATCAAATATATTTTTCCAAGGTTCCTTGATTAAAAATTAGTATTTTTAACACACACATGGCACTCTAGATTGAAATTTAAAATACAATTTTTTTAAAGCGAAAATGTCAAAACTTGTCTTATAATATGTCATTCTATTCAAAGTTTCATTTTCTATCGAATAAAGTAAAAAAATACCGAGGGTGGTATTTAAAAATCAAAAGTCGTAGTCTTTTCCGGTGAAACAGGAGGTGACCAAAAACAATTGAATACGTCAATAAATTCTAATTTATGTCATATACTAACATACCAAATCTAGTTTTTTTATCTGAAAAAAATAAAAAAAGTTATAGGGGTGAGCCACTTTTGAGACGCACCCGGTATAAAATAAAAAAATTTAACTTTTCTTTGATTCTAATATTTTTTCTGTATTTTAGAGGGTCTAGTGATTCCAAAAGATGTCTCTGTTGTCGTATCTTTATACGATCTACACCGTGATCCAGATATATATCCAGAACCCGAGAAATTCGATCCCGATAGATTTTTACCGGAAATATCAGCCAAAAGACATCCCTATGCTTATATCCCCTTCAGTGCAGGACCTAGAAACTGTATAGGTAAATAAAATAATCCAAAAAAATATGTTTTTTTTTCAAACGTCACAAAATTATTAATTTTTACGACGTGATTGACAATCACTTGACAATATAAAAAAGTCATTTTAACGCCTAAGTACGAAATTATTAAACTGACATAAAGTGTCAAATTCATCGAGCGTAACCATAGTTTCTCTATACCGGGTGGTGCATCGTCGTTGGAAACATAGGAAATCCCATGCAAATTTTGAACTGTTTAAATATTGGCCCCACTATTAATTTTACAGCGTAAAATAATTTTAAGTCGTAAATAAATTGTTTAAAGGTTTATGTATTGTTGCGAGCCGGTGTGGACTCGACCTAACCTCACAATATGGCCCGCCCTCGGATGACCTTAACATCGCATAGACACCGCAATGATTCATTCGTTCGAGAAGAATCGAGACCCACTAGAATGGACTCGTACATACGAGAACATTCGAAAACCTTCTCTATGCGCCTAACGATCTTTGGACTATTCTAGATTTCTTTTACCTGTCGGTATAAAAGCCGGCGGCAGTGGCCTAGAGAGGGCAGTTATAAATATACAGTTGACGCGCTAAAATTCAAAAATAAATTTTTAGTTATAAATCGTTTGTAAATAGTTCTATAAGTCTTTTATCGTTATTATTTTTGTTAATTAGTGTTAAATAAATAGTGTTTAAATAAATTGTGACTTTCTATCCACACGGAACCGACGAAAAACGTAACAATTGGTGTCAAGTGTGGCGTGTGATAGACTAGAAAAATAAAAAGACTAACAATGGCTCCGAAGAAATTGTTGAAAGACTTGAAAGTGTCCGAACTGAAATCCATATTGGAAGAGAGAGAGTGCGAGACAGATGGAAAGAAAAGCATTTTGCAAACTAGACTGAGAGACGTTTTGAGGGAGGAAGGCGAGGATCCGGACACATTTTGCTTTGAGTTCGAAGGTGACCTTGACTCGTGCCTACAAAAATTAGAAGCTAAAATGACGGAAAACTCTCAAAAATTAGAAGACAGTTTGAATGATAAAATGACAGAGAATTCTCAAAATTAGACGACAACTTGAACAATTTGAATAGTAAAATAATTGACTTGGAAGTTAATTTAGAAGAGAAAATCAGTGATAAAATTAATATTTTGGAAGATAAGATCGCAGAAAATTCTAAAGACATACAGGCCAGCTTTAATAATAAAATACTTAATTTAGAAGAAAAGATAACAGAAAATTCCAGGGAATTAGAAGAAAAGATTATAGAGAATTCTACGGAGCTACAAGACAAAATAACACAAATTGAGGACGATGTAAATAAAAAAATCGAAATTTTAAAACAAGAAATAGAAAAGGCCAATTCACCAAAATGTCAAGAAACATCGGAGGCACCGAAATTAGTCGAAAATAAGTATATCTCAAAGTCAGTTATTAAGCCTCCACAGTTTGACGGAAAAACCGCTTGGGCCAATTATTTTTGCCAGTTTGAGGCCGCTGCGAGAGCGAACGGATGGACAATCGCTGAAAAGGCTACCGCTTTGACTGTCGCACTGCGAGGAGATGCGACTGATATTCTGCAGACATTGTCACCATCGGAACAGGGAGATTATCAGCAATTGGTACGACATTTAGAAATGAGGTACGGCCAAGCTCATTTGAAACATGTCTATCATTCCCAGCTAAAAAATCGCATTCAAAAGTCAAATGAGTCTCTGCAGGAGTTTGAAGCCGACGTAGCCCGCCTCGTTCGCCTTGCGTACCCTACTACGCCAGAGAATGTTATGGAGCGGTTGGCAGTACAGGCATTCTCCGACGGCTTACGTGATAACGAGACAAGACAAGCACTTCTCCTAGCCCACCCAACGCACTTGGTGGATGCTTTAGCACGTGCCCTAGAATTTGAGGCCGCGAAACAAAGTTCTCGGTCTCTAGTGAGAGTACGGGGCGGTCAACCAATGTTCCGACGAATCCGTGGAAAGCATTGTGCGGAAAGTCATGGAGGAGTACATGGGCAAGAAAGGACCGACTTGTTGCTGGAATTGCGGCCAGGCAGGACACGTAAGAAGTCACTGTAAAGAAAAGGACGTGGACCCGGTTTCGCCAAGTGTCGAATCAAAGGGACACATATCGAGCAGTACCCAACAGGTTTCAACGAAAACTGCTCAAGTCGCATCGCTACAACACAAGTTCAACAGCATTTTTGTGGATGGTTTCGTGGATGGAGAGTTACGAACCATGCTTTTGGATACGGGTGCGACCAAAACGATCATCAGACCGGATATCCTTAAAACATCAAACAGGATTAAAAACAACACAATGGCGACTACGTACAGCTACAGGAAGCTCCGCTCTCATCCATGGAGAGGTAGATCTTAATTTTGTTATCGGAAGCACCTGTTTTAATCATCGAGTGTTAGTAGCAGACATCGAAGATGAACTTATTCTCGGAATGGACATCATGACCACTAGAGGTTTTGAGCTAAACCTCAAACAAGGAATTTTGAAAATAAATGAAGAAGAAGTGGTTCTGCATCGAAAATGTGAGGAGACGCTTCGCGTGGTGGTAGCAGAAGATGTTTCGATCCCTGAGCGCTGTGAGATATTTTTGGATGGTTGCCTAGAAGGTAAAATGAATAATGGGAGTATTATTCTGTTGGAGCCAAGGAACCATGACAGCGAAATAGGACGAGGGATCGCTGTTGGAAAAGCCCTGCTACGAGCGAAGAAAACTGTACCGGTGAGAGTAATGAACACGAATTATTATTCTGTATCCTTGAAGAAGGGAACCCTCTTAGGGTACTGTTGTTCGGTCTCCTCAGTCGTTCGAAGCGTGGAAGCCTCCAAAGTTTCGACTTCAAAAATTCCGGACAAAATGGTGAAGGAGTTAGTAAACGTTAAAGGATTATCTCCCGAAAATAGAAGAAAATTGAGAAACCTGATAATCAAGTATCAAGATGTGTTTGATAAAGGAGAAGCAGGACAGAGAGGTCGTACCAATTTAGTACAACACAAAATTGATACCGGAGATGCACGACCAATCAAACAAAATCCGAGAAGACTTCCGCTCGCCAAACGTGAAGAAGCTGATAAAATCCTTCGAGAAATGAAAGAAGAGGGTGTCATCGAACCATCTAACAGCCCGTGGACATCGCCGGTAGTACTAGTAAAGAAGAAAGACGGTACCACCAGGTTCTGTGTTGATTATCGGCAGCTCAATAATGTTACCAAGAAGGATAGTTATCCCCTGCCGAGGATAGACGATACTCTAGACACGCTGGCGGGGTCAACGATATTCTCTACGTTAGATCTGAAGAGTGGATATTGGCAAGTCGACATGGCGCCGAAAGACAGAGAGAAGACAGCGTTCTCGGTGGGCTCCGGACTGTGGCAATTTACCGTCATGCCTTTTGGATTGTGCAACGCGCCAGCTACCTTTGAGAGACTAATGGAGTCTGTGTTAAAGGGACTATCCTGGACTACCTGTTTAGTGTACCTGGATGACATCATAGTGGTTGGGAAATCCTTTGACCATCATCTGAAGAATTTGGAAGAAGTTTTCAAGCGACTAGGGAGTTCTGGTTTGAAACTTAGCCCCAAGAAATGTCATCTGTGTCAAGAAAAGGTACACTACTTGGGCCATGTAGTCTCCTCCCAAGGAGTTGCGGTAGATCCACAGAAGACCAAGACAGTGGAAGAGTGGCCGATACCTAAAGATAAACATGAACTACGAAGCTTTTTGGGACTATGCACATACTATCGACGCTATGTACAGGGTTTCGCCACCATCGCAAAACCATTGACCAGACTTACTGAAGGCGAGAGGCGTTTCTCTTGGGACTCAGATTCTGACGAGGCATTCCGAAAATTGAAGAAGGCCCTGACTGGTGCGCCCATACTTATCTACCCTCTTGGCAACGGAAACTTTATATTGGATACCGACGCTAGCAATGTTGCATTAGGCGCTGTTCTGTCTCAGATCCAGGATGGTCAAGAAAAAGTCATTGGTTATTTTAGTAAGACCTTGTCAAAACCGGAAAGGAACTACTGTGTAACCAGACGAGAATTACTAGCAGTAGTTAAAGCAGTGGAACACTTCTACAAGTATCTCTATGGAAGAAAGTTCTTGTTAAGAACAGACCATGCTGCTTTGAAATGGCTGTTGCAGTTTAAGAATCCTGAAGGGCAGGTAGCTAGATGGATTGAACGATTACAAGAATTTGACTTCGACACAGAACATCGAGCTGGGGCAATCCATCGGAATGCCGACGCACTTTCCAGAAGACCTTGCGCTAAGGACTGTAAGCATTGTTCCCGAGCAGAAGAGAAAGAAGTGAAACTCCTAAGAACAACTGTGGTTAATGATAGTTGGCAACCCGAAGATCTTGCAAATGACCAAACCAGTGACCCAGAATTAGGTTTAGTAATTAACTGGAAAAACACAGGCCAAAGACCAACGTGGGAAGAAGTTTGCAGATATTCGCCGAACGTAAAGTCGTACTGGGCCCAGTGGAATTCCTTGGTAATAGATAACGGACTACTTCGCCGTGTGATCGAGAGACCGGAGGGACAAGAAGAGAGAAGGCAGATCGTCATTCCAAAGAAGAGGGTCCCAGAAGTCTTGGAGGAAGTTCACAATGGAACCAGCGGAGGACATGTGAACGGTTCTACTGGGTGAACTGCAAAGAAGATGTGAGGGCCTGGTGTAAGAAATGTGACATTTGCGCAGCCATTAATGGGCCACAAAAGCGTGGTAAAGCCCCTATGCGCCAGTACAATGTTGGTAGTCCCTTCGAACGAATAGCGATCGACGTGGCTGGTCCTTTCCCGGAGACGAACGATGGCAACAAATACATTGTGGTAGTAATGGATTACTTCAGCAAATGGGTCGAGGCCTACGCGTTGCCAAATCAAGAAGCGTCCACGATTGCTGATGCCCTTGTTAAAGAATGGATCTGCAGGTTTGGTGTTCCCATGGAGCTTCATTCAGATCAGGGAAGAAACTTTGAGTCCAATCTGTTCCAAGGCGTCTGTGAAGTCCTGAACATCCGCAAGACCAGGACGACTGCTCTACATCCACAATCCGATGGGATGGTTGAACGCATGAACAGAACTATCAACCGTTATCTGGCCAAAGTAGTCTCTGACCACCAAAGAGACTGGGACAAATTTCTTCACCTGTTCCTGTTGGCCTACCGTTCATCCGTCCAAGAATCTACAGGGCAAACTCCAGCCAGCATCGTTATGGGACGGGAAGTGCGCCTACCCTGTGATCTGAAATTTGGTTGCCGACCGGGAGAAGAAGTCGCCGGAGAAGATTATGTCCACACACTACGTCAAAGGATGGACGACATTCATCAGAGAGTCCGCCTAAATATTCAAAGTGCTAGTGACCGAATGAAGGAACACTACGACATTCAAGCTGAGCATGGAGGATACCAACCAGGGAAGTTGGTGTGGCTATATAACCCGCAGAGACGTCGTGGGTTATCTCCGAAGCTACAATCCTCGTGGGAAGGGCCATACGAAGTCATGGATAGAATTAATGACGTCGTATACCGTATCAGAAAATTGCCAAAAGGAAAACCGAGGGTAGTCCATTTCAACCGTTTGAGCCCCTACCAAGGCGAAATAGAAGATCGTGCTGGGACCGTGAGAACCTGCAGCTTTGATCCCCCTGATTCGGAGATGTCCTTTGACGATTTCATGGCCCGATACAACAGCAGTGAGAAGGCTCGCTATGGTGTAACCAAAGAAGATCAACGAGACCTCTTTTCCGTGCCTCCTGATTATTCGCTCGCTCATTGTGTGGCTCGAGATTTGCGGATGTCCAGAGGAATCGCTGCGACGTTCAATGAGAAGTTTGGGCGTGTCGGAGAACTACGCCGACAGGATCCAGAGGTTGGAAGCGTCTTGAGGCTAACCGACAATGCACATGGTCAAGCAAGGCACATCTTCTACCTGGTCACCAAGGAATGGTCCCCGAGTAAGCCGACTTATCTCAATCTATGGAAGACCCTGATTGAACTGAGAGAAGCCCTGCTAAACAACAACATTGCACGATTAGCCATTCCGAAGCTGGCGTGTGGACTCGATGGTTTGAGTTGGCGTACAATCCGGAACATGATTGAAGTCTTGTTCAGATTTACGGGAATCGAGATCCTCGTTTGCTGCTACAACCCAAAGCTGAGATCGGGAGAGAAAACTGTAGACTGCTATTTCTACCAGACTTCGCAATGTACCAGGGGCCAGCTTTGCAAATACCTCATTCACCGTATACATCTCGGGACGAGCATGTGCCTAAGAAGGGGGCAGTGTTGCGAGCCGGTGTGGACTCGACCTAACCTCACAATATGGCCCGCCCTCGGATGACCTTAACATTGCATAGACACCGCAATGATTCATTCGTTCGAGAAGAATCGAGACCCACTAGAATGGACTCGTACATACGAGAACATTCGAAAACCTTCCCTATGCGCCTAACGATCTTTGGACTATTCTAGATTTCTTTTACCTGTCGGTATAAAAGCCGGCGGCAGTAGTAGCCTAGAGAGGGCAGTTATAAATATACAGTTGACGCGCTAAAATTCAAAATAAATTCTTAGTTATAAATCGTTTGTAAATAATAGTTCTATAAGTCTTTTATCGTTATTATTTTTGTTAATTAGTGTTAAATAAATAGTGTTTAAATAAATTGTGACTTTCTATCCACACGGAACCGACGAAAAACGTAACAGTATGGTAAATACCAGGGTTGGCATGATTTAAATCAAATGATTTAAATCATGATTTAAATCGTGATTTAAATCAAGTGATTTTTTTAATTTTAATCATTGATTTAAATAAAAAAAATAATTTTATTAAAACTTTATTATAAATCAAAAAATAACTATAAAAGTTATAAAAATGTGTCCTAGAAAACTATAAAAATGTTATAAAACTATATAAAAATATCTATTCATCAATTTAAATGTTGGACCGATTTTTGAAGTAATTTCGTGTGAATCCATTAGACCGCTAAACGCAGGGATTTATTTTAAAATTTATGTATAAGTGACAAAAATTCGCTATTCGAATACATATCATTTGCAGTCTAGTGCAGACCTAGGTTCTTCTGATATAGAAACTATATATCTTCATTCCCGAGAATCTATAATAATAATCGTTGTCAGGAAATATGTTGATTTATATTTTTTTTGAAATGGTTGTATTTTTCCAAATTCTTACCGACATTTTGATCTGCAGTGAGTATTTTACACTTTGACTAATACTAATTTCAGTCTCGACTTAAGAGTATTTCCGAACAATAATGTATTGTTTTATTAGGAGTAAGAATTATTTTTTTTTTTTTGATGATGCTGTACCTTTGAAGGACCATCGTAAAGCTAGTCCGACGTTACAAGGAAGCACAAAAAGTACATTTTTACTCCTAATAAAACATACATACTATTTTTTTAAAACATTACAAATCATTTTTAATCAATTCCAAACATTGCAAATAATATAAACAGTAATCGAGCAACAATTTGTACACTCGTTGAATTTGACACTTAATATCAGTTTAATAATATATTTTTGTACTTTTATGCTTAGGCGTAACAGTGCTTTACTTTTATACCTAGGCGTTAAAATGACAAAAATTAATACTTTTGAGACGTTTGAAAAAAAATCCTTTTGATCTGAAGCGAGCGATTTTTTTGCGAAATATATTGGTGACCGATGTGGCGTGGAAAAATGACAAACGCACCCTAGAATTATTAATGTTATTGATAACGGGAAGAGTTATAAAGATTTAGCCATTTAGGATAGGACTTTAATTGGAAATAAGTCCTAGTTATTTGGAAATCCGATTTAAATATTGTTTTGAATTAAAAAAATCTGATTTAAATAAAAAAAATCTGATTTAAATCAAATAAATCTTATTTTTTTGATTTTTTTTAAAAAATCATGATTTTTTCCAACCCTGGTAAATACACATACCAAATTTGAACAATTTTGGACCAGCCGATTTTGAGTAATTTAAGAAAGTTTGCATCTATTTTTAAATAAAAACCGGTAATAATCAAACACCAGTCAAAAACTGACATACCTTAGGTTTACAAACTGTGATTTTGTCATTGTCAAAAGTAATTTAATTTTAATATTCAGGAAAAATTAACCGAAACATGTCAGATACACTGGTCTAAGCTATTTTCCGCGTATTTTATCATGTTCAATTTTTCTTTATGTGTATAACAATAAATTATTATACTAGTACTGAATATTAAAATTTTATTAAAATTACATTTGAAAATGACGTTGACAACTTAAGGAATGTCGGTTTCTCACTGGTGTTTGATTGTTACCTATTTAGTTTTAATTTAAAAATCGATTAAGTTTTTCTCAAATTACTCAAAATCGGCTTGTCCAAAATTGCTCAAATTTAGCATGTGTGTTTACCAAACGTAGACCGTTAAAAAATCTATTTACGACTTCGCTATAAAATCAATGGGGGAGCCAATATCTGTAATATGTTTACAACGACGATGCCACCACCCGGTATATAATTACATACAAGGCATGATTTTTAAATGTTTTTATATTATTTTGTACAGTTGTACAAATATAGTAAGAGACTTGGGGGATAGCACCGGTCGCGTGTTATTTTATATTTCTCACGTCTCTAGCTATACTTGTTAAGTTGTACGTTTGAAATTGCTTAAAAAATTATTTGTGACATTTGAAAAAAATAGTATATTCTATTTGGAGTAAAAGTGTCTTTTTGCGCCTCGACTGTATGTCGGATTCGCTAACGCTCGTACCCACAGCCTCGTCGCAAAAAGTGTCATTTTGACTCTTAATAAAACAATATACTATTTTCTTATACAAACTTTAAAATACAAAAAATATGAATTGAAAATATTACTACCACTCAAGAGCAACTATAGTTCATATCAAATAAACTTTTATTCACGTGATTAAGCTTAACACAACGCTGCCCACTTTTACATATTTTCTTTTAATCAAAATATTTTAGGAAACAAAAATAAATGAATTATAAATATATAAAGAATTATTATTTACATCAATAAAAATTCACCTTCTTTACAGCACTTAAGGAACATAAAGGGTCATTATTACCGCTTTCCCGTTCAAAATATTCTAATAAAGTTGCAATGAGTTTTTTACGGCTATTAAGCTATTTTATACATATATTTCACACTAAAAGAAGTTCTAAAAAGAACAATGTTCGGCTGCAATGTCTGCTACTAAAATTTTTAAGCTTAAAATATCACAACACAATAATTCATTTAAACCAAAAACCCGTTATACAAAACTAAAATGTAAAAACGAATGACAATGTCAGGAAATAAATGTGGCAACTTGACATTTCTTACAGCTGAGCTACCTGAATCCCCAGGGCGAAATTTAGGTTCCAGTTAGTCAACCCGGAGCCAAATATGTTCATGGTTGGCAACAATGAATTTAAAAATTCCGCCCTCGATTATGTAACTAAAAGTTTAATTGATATCAAATATAGATTTGTTTACATTCAAATATCATATTGTCTTCTGTGAATTTCGTATTTGGTTTTTGTCAGGGCCTATAATCCAATTATAGAACTTTCTAGTTTGGTCTAAAAGGTACATATTATGTCTCAAAAAGTCAGAAATAATTTTAGTTAGTTATAAAAACAACATGTTAGGAAAACAACATGCAATTTAGGCCCAAATACGCCAATGTATCATAGTACAAATTGTTATTCTATTTTTTTATTGATTTACAGGTCAAAACTTTGGAATGAAAAACGCCAAAACCGTGATAACGTACATACTGAGAAGGTACAATGTAACATGTTTAGAAAAACCAGAAGATATAAAAAAATCTTACGAAATTGTTCTCAAACCGCAAAGCGGTTTAAAGGTTAGGTTAGAAAGAAGACACTAAAAACTTTGTATAGCTATGTATTCAATAGATTCTACCCAATGACTAAAGAATACATGGACTAACACTCGAGACCAAATTGTTGCCCTACATCCAAACAGTGCCGTGGCGCATATTTTTCTTACCTTAGCTGCTTGAATAGATATTTATATTTTTAATAAATGTTTTGACTACGCCTATGGTGCATTCGGTGGTATCATACTAATTAATTACGAAAAAAACGTATTAAAAACAAAATGTACAAAACTAGTATCGACGTATAGCATATATCAGTACATATAATAGAAAAATAATTATCGAATTCAATAAGAAAACTAGTGGCCTGTTGGAGTGGACTGTTTATTTACCTATGAAACGTAACTCCCGGCTCTTTCTTATCACTGCGGCTTTTACACTTAAAAGCTGAACAACTAATCGCCATTGTAATAAAGTTTATACAAAGTTCACTACACACAAACTATTAAAAATCGCTAAAATTGTCGATGATGACCAGCTGATGACTAACAAATTTTGCTGCAGCCCGTATATGAGCGTCACGTATTATTTAGTCATTGATTCTACCGCACGATCGAAAATAAAAAAGGCATCGAGTTTTTTGGAATGACGATAGATGAAATTGATTATATAATTTTACCTAATATACCTAAAATAACAGCAATCGTCATTTCCAAGTCAACTCTGACGTCTTTTTTAATTATATTATATTCTGTTTGTAAGAATATATAAACAAGGCTAAAAGATTTGAATGTGCTTTTTAATATTCAAATATTAAATGAAGAAATTAGAAAGTGTTAGAGAAAGAACCTCATCAAATATTGGACTGTATATAATACTCTTTTGTATTTATGTTTTATTACTTATTGTAAAAATAATGTGTAATTTTAGTTTTTATGTTATATATGATTTTTTATATGAAAAAGATAATAAATAAATTTTACCATAATATGTAGATAATTTTCTTCATCACACTGTTGTTAGGTTAGGTTGCTGAGGTTTGGGATCTTGTTTGATCCCTCACTAGGAGGCCTTGGGCCCATTGCGATACCCCTGTATTGTTGTACCAAACCTTCCTCTCATTCTTTCTTTCCATTAAAGCACTTCCAGCTCTTTGCAAAGTTCCCGATGTCGCTGATGTTGGCTTCTGCTGCTTCCTCTACTCCCTCCAAAAAACCTTGCCCTGAAGTTTTAAAGCGTCAGTATTCCAGTGCCGAACAGTGGCACAACAGTTGCTCTATGCTTTCTTCTTACTCTCTGCATTCTCTGAAGTAGTCGTCGTTGGAAATCTTCCATCTCACGAGGTTTACCCCCGTGGTGCAGTTTCCAGTGATTCCACATCTACAATTATGCGTACTAGGTTCTTTTTGTACTCTAATAGTTGTTTTGTCTTTTTGCTATCTACCACTGGCCATAGTCTTCGAGCTGTAGCGCAGGTCCTCACGGTGTTGCCACGTCTCTTGCTGCTTGGCCTTGATGGTGGTTCCTATAGCCTCCTTCAGTGTGTTGTATTTTTGTATTTTACTAAGAGTGAGTCCCAGGTAGGACCCTCCACTGAGGCCGCGAGGGCCTATTGTGGCTCAGTTTCTGCAAGCTCTTTAATAGAAAAAGATCATTAAAGTTTGCCCTCAAGACCCAGCCTTTTAACATAGGCCGTTATGTCCGAGGGTGATATGTCTTCTAGGTCTGATAGGTCTAGCGTGGGTTTGCCAAACACCTCAAACCTGGTCCTGCCCCCAGCGGGGCAGGTACACATAACGTGCTTCATTGTTTCGTCATCTTCCATAGAGAGTCGGCATTCGGCGTCTTCCACCAGTCCCATCCTCTGTAGGTGTGATCTCAGCCGGCAGTGGCCCGTGTATACTGCAGTAAGCGTACGCGCTCCGTTCCTACCAGCCTTTAGGAGTTCATCTGTTCTACGTTTGGATGGCCCGGCTAGGATTGTCTTGGCATGTTCCATTCCGGGACTGTCATACCAGTCCCGAAACGTCACACCCCTAACCCATTCACAAAGCCTGTCTCTTGCGAGATATTTTGGTACGCTAAGTGTCGGTTCTGGGCCCACGAATGGCGAGCCTGCACCAGTTTTGGCGAGGGAATCAGCACGTTCATTTCCCTCTAGGCCGACATGTCCCGGTATCCATATTAGCGACACTTTGTTTCCATCTCCTAATATATTGAGTAGTTTCTTACAATGAAGAATCGTCCTGGACGTACTTTTCGTTGCCTCAAGTGCTTTCAACGCGGCTTGACTATCCGAAAATATGCTTATTGTTTTCCCGGTGTATTGCTGTTCTACCAGCAGTTGCACACAGCTTGAAAAATAGTGGTGTGTTTTCCAAGACTGTGGTAGATCTCAATCTTTGGACTGCTGCAGTAAATTCCTGCGCCAGATCCTTTATCGTTTTTGGATCCGTCCGTGTACCAACACATTTCTGCAAGTAATAAGCCCTTTCTCGGCTTATCCTGTGACAAAACTTTCCAGATTTGTCCGTTAACATGGTAGTGTGGTCTTTATATAATTATAATTAAAATAATTTATTGAGCGGTAGGCAGAACTTGGATAATGGGAACTTTTCAGAACCGACTTTTCAGAGCGTAAATATAGTTTATCGTTTACATATAAAAACAAAATATAACCAGCTAAAGATCGAAATTAAGGCATCGCACTTTTATGGTAAGGGCTCTTTCTAAATTCAGTTACTATAAACTCTATTGCCACTTACCTTATTACGTCAACATCCATCAGCAATACATCAACAACAAGAACCTATCGAAGACTTCGTTGATCCCCTTGTTTCTGGTCCTTATCCCGAGAGGGCATCAGCATGTCCTATTTATTAATTAAATGTAATTTTTAAACCCTTCCGTGTAAATCTTACTCTTTTACCAATTTGCTGGATAATATTCATAATTTAAGCCTTAACTAATACAAATGATATCGTGTCATAGGATTACCTTAGAAAAAAAAACCGCCTAGAAATTAACTCTTTATTTCTTCACATTTTTGTCTATTTCTATTTAACTCTAGGAACGGAAAAAAAGATAATCCTAGTTCTATCATTTTCAGACATTCATCTCGTGAACATTTGGATTCTGATTTTAAACCATATATTTAATACTTTTAATTTTCAATATAAAACCTCTAGCGAGGGGATGATTTAATTTTACTTATTTCCTTAAGCATGCCTACGTGCTTTTTCTGCGTTGTTTATTTTGAGATATCCCTAGGGTACACACAACTGGTACCACTCTGTCAAACACAGTTTTGATAATAAGGGATGAATGTTTGTTCTACTTTACCCTCGTTTATGTGACTTTAAATTATTTAGAAGATTGTATTATTTGCTTAGTTAGTTTCTCAGGATATATGCGTACTTTTAGAGAGTTTATGTGTCTTGAATATCATTAGATTATTTGCTTAAGCCTTTTAAAATTCGTTTGCCTATGTCAACTGATAACTTCGTAAACTGAAATGGTCCCATCTTAGAATAACAAACCAAAAGATAAAATTTTACAAAGCTTGATATTATTCTATTACATTTTGCCTTCCCCTTAAAGAAGTAGAGCTATTGTTTCCATTAAAAAAAATAAATTAAAAAAAATACAAACTAATATTGAAAAGAGGCAAACTATAAAATGTTTAAATAATAAAGATCAATCAACGCAGAATAGCTGAAACAATAGGTTCACGATATGCTCTGTCTGTTACAAACTACTATTCCTTAACTAAACTCATTGACTAAACTGAAGTTCCTAGAATGTTTGTTGACTCCTGCTGAACATGTATCGCGACTTTGCTACGATTTGCTTACCGCGCGCGTGTAAATCGGTTTGCGTATCCGTATTCTCGTACTCGCGTGATTCGCACTTCTATCGGCCTTTTGTTTTCCACTGTCTTGGCGAACACTCGAACTCTTACTGTCTTGGTAAAAATTTCGTTTGACTGTCTAAGTGTCTCAATTCTACACTGTCTTGGTGAATTCACGTTTTTGCACTGTTCTGTTTGACCACCGTCCGAACGAAGTCAATGACCAGTTAACGCGCTCGCGAATCAAAGGCTCCACGTACTGCAATATTCCCGAAACTATTGCTGCATGGCTTCACCTGTGATGTAGGTCTGGATGGCCTCGGAAATTCGGTCATATCACTTGCATCCCTGTGATATCTGTATGCTGATCTGCTTGAACGGAAAACATCTTATTTTCCATTCTGTTGACTTTGTCCCCGACTTTCCTCTGCATAAACTTGCTGTTATATTCAGGCATGAACGTAGACTATCTCATTTTGATACTTTTTCGTCCAACTGTCACTATCAAAATGCTGCTCATTTCTTTCGGATATAGCATTTACATAGGCTTCGAATAGTACCTGCCTATATTCAGTTCTCAGCGTCTCATTCCCAAAACATCCTGTGTATCAACTCATCTGGATAACAATTACGTGTCTAACATTCTGGATAACCATCGCCCTAACTGTGGTTGTATGAAAAACCTGTTACGGTTATATATTTTAAAGGGGTGTTAATTTTCTTAGATTTATGGCACGTTAATAAAATATAACAATACATTTCTTAATACATATTAATTATTTATTTATTTTCTATTTACAAGTAAAGTAAATGTGCATTAACTTTAAATCATAATTTAACTTCATATTGTTGTATTTTTAGCCAAATGTAATATTTTGTAAATAATATCTTTGACTCGATCTTGAGGTATTATTCTTCAGGTTATGGAAGGGTAAATGCATCGTGTAAAGACTTCTTATTTATCTAAAATAACGTTAATTAAAGTAATATTAATAATAACCACTTTATATACTTACTTTTGGTATTTGTTTACTTCTGTTCAAGTGGAAATATTCATTGCATTTTGTTAGTTGTTTGGTTGCTACAAAGGGAAACCATATTATATTAATTATATTATACGAAACGATGTACATACCTTTTTAATAACAATAATACCTTCAATAATTATTATTAATAAATAATCTGATTGTGATTTTTGTTTAGATTAATTAATTTGTGGTTAGGGCAGAAACGTCAAATCATCAACGGGTCTAACGGTGTTGCCAGCTTCTTGAAGTTTTCTTAAATCATATTTCACCTCATTCATATTTAGTCTCTAAATAATTAATTTTAGCATTTAACTTATTTTAATACTTTTATTTATTAATGATCTTAAACTCTTATCAATTGTATCTAGTTGTAATTGCATTTAACTTATTATTATTGTTTGATTTATTATTAAGTTTCTTTTATTATCGGATTACTCCTGGCAACATTGGTACTTAACTGGTTGCGGATGTACCCATAAAATAATAAATACAAGAAGAAGTGTCAAGTCAATGTTAAATTATGAACAGTTGAAAATTGAATTTTGAAAAGTTTGAATTAAATTATGAACATTAAATTGTGAACAGCGTGGCTGCCTGGGTAACTAATTTTCAGATATGGCGGCTGGGACATTTGACATGGCATAGACATGACAATTTCAATTTTATGAAATGTATTTCCGTTTCCGGTTTTTAATGGCGGGCTGTTCAGGAGGTTTAAATGAGGGTTAATATACTTTTTACTCTTTCTGGTAGTAAATAATACAACAAAATTACTCAAAAATATTTATTTGGACTTTAGAACAATGTAAATATGCA